GCGTGCGCTAGCTAATACATAAATAACCGAAAACAGCACTAAATCGCTAAACTACCTTAAAGGTATTCATATTCTTTAGGTCTTTTGGTAAAGCCACGTAGATAGAAAAATAAGAATAAAAATTATATCAGATGTTACGGCTTACCAAAAATCCATTAAGGTACACTACTTCGTCCTTTTGTCTCCACCATGAGCTCACCCACCTACAAACTGGCCCGATTTATGTCTGAGACCTTGCAACCATTCACTGGTAAGACCACCTCAGCTGTACTTAACTCAGCTCACTTGATATCTTCAATTAAGGACATCTCACCATCTCCAGGTGATTTGCTTGTCAGCTTCGATGTGGTGTCTTTGTTTACCAAAGTTACTGTGCCTGACACCATTGCAATCATTGAAGATTTGGTCCAACAAGGACTGAATGCTGATGTACCGACCCTGGTTAGAAACTGCCTCACCAACACTTACTTCACCTGGAATGGAACATTCTACAAACAAGTTGAAGGTACCTCAATGGGTTCTCCCTTATCTCCAGTTATAGCCAATGTTTTCATGGAGAAATTTGAGACAGATGCCATCCAGGCATCCACCCTACGTCCTTCCTTGTGGAAGAGATACGTAGAGGACACGTTCGTCATCTGGCCACATGGCCTACCAGCTCTGGACCAATTCTTCAACCACATCAATTCCATAGACCCAGCCATCAAATTCACCAGAGGTGGAAAAGGATGGCAAGTTACCATTCTTGGATGTCTTAATCGAAAAGAGACCTGATAGCTCAATGGGACACTGTTTACGGGAAACCCACCCATACGGATGCCTACCTGAAACCTGACTCCCACCACCATGCATCCCAAAATAATTTCCTCATCAAAACTCTATACCATAGAGCGCGTTGTATTTCCGACCATCACCACCTAGCCAGTGAACTGGAGCACGTACACCAAGCCCTCAAAAATGGATATTCAGACTACAGTCCGTAAAGCTATCATCCCAACCATTGGGAAAACCATCTGAGGACCCAATAAAAATCCTCACCTTGCCATACATAGCAGGGGTCACCAAAGATATTTCCAAAAATATGAGCAAACACAAGATCCAGGTACGTTTCAACACAGTACGTAAATTAGTGATTTGATCCCATCTGTGAAGCATGTGATCCCTGACATGCAATACCCCGGTGTCTACAAACTAAGCTCTCTGCGGCAGCAGTTACATTGGGGAAACTAAGCGACATGTCTCGGACCGTGTTCGTGAACATAAGGCAGATCTGAAACACGGTAGGACCAATACCTCAGCCGTGGCTGATCATTGTTTTAACGCTGTGGGCTCACAAAAAATGGATTTTGCCAAGACGAAGGTACTCTGCAAACCCACTGGCTATCAGCAAAGATTCGTTCATGAAGCCATCCAGATATATAAACACAGACACAATTTCAACCGAGATGGGTACAAACTGAAAAATCATTGGAAGGACGTTATTAACCAGTTTACGTCATAACTGGCTGTTGTTCCCTTCCTACCTACCTATGTTAGCAGTTATTTTCCAATCTCTGAGTTACATTCACTAACACAGACACCGTTAGCTTTGTTAGTAAATGGCGGCTTGCCATCCTTTTCCACCTCCGTGTGACGATGGCTCTTTCCGAGCTCTCTCCGAGCTTATATTTACAAGCACATTTTTTACATTGACATGCTAATCTCTCACAATACAATGGCCACCCCCACAGCTTCGTTTGTCAAGATTTCTCCGATCTTACATTTACATTCGAATTTCATCTCTAGCCCCACCCACTGACCCTTGGGCTACCCCCATCTCAAACCTTTATAACTTCCTGCCTGAGCAGTACTCCCGCCATATATTTGTTCCTTCATCAGCAGCTCTCCCGCTATATTTTTCACCTGATGACGATTGCTTGTGTTGCGATCGAAACGTCGTGATATTGTTATTATTTTTCTATCTACGTGGCTTTACCGAAAGACCCAAAGAATATGAATTTCTGCAGTCACTAAAGCTTTAAGCTTAAAGGTGACGGACGCGAAATCGGAATAGCGCTGGCTCAGCACGGGGCTCATGGCGTGGTACCTGGCTTCTTTTTTTCTAACGCGAACCCCACGGTTTGCGAGCCAAATACTTTGCAAGTTTCCGGCCGCACACACCCAGACAATGGCATTTATAGGTTAGATTGACTAAGTATATGCGAATGTCAATGTTTATAATATTCAAGTAGTTCCTTACCTCACTATGGTATTCCTTATTATCCTGTGTTTTCATTGTGTATTTAAACCAATAAAGATCAGTTGGTGACCTAACTGGCTTTGGTCTAGGTAGTTTTCAGTAATAATGTCCATTTCATCTTTCCGGACGCATGTCATAGGGTATGGGTATAAAAGTCATGGTAACTACAACTAAGCTGCCACTCCGCAAAGGTTATTATATCAGAATGTCCCACACACATGGAGTATTACAAAAAAATAATTACTAGACTTTGCCACCTTACGTGGTACCAATAAGTGTTTTGTTGGTCTGGGTCCATGGACTAAAAGCGTCATAAGGGGCAAGATTGCAACCGTTGCCCCGAACCTGGTCCTTGCCCCGAACCTGGTCCTTGCCCCCGACTGGACTGGATACAGCAGCGCAGGGTCCCACAAAGGCCTCTCTGGGAGTAACCCTTGGCAACGAGGCAGTCACCGGCCTGGACTATGCAGAAGATGTCACCTTGCATGCTGAAATGCTTGAAGGTTTACTCCTAGCCCTGGAGCACACGCACGGCAAAGCCCTCCCATTTGGTCTGGAAATAAACTGGGCTAAAACAAAAAACACAGACCACTGATGAGCAAACCACACAATTGCCTGAAGTGGAAATAGCGGGCAACAACGTTGAATTGGTATAATCGCGTTCACCTATCGCGGCTGCACTATGCGACACACTGGAAGCAGCGAGGTAGAGATTAGAAAGGCGAGTCTCAATTGCACGCGAGTGCACGGAACAGCTCGACAGACACACCTGTACTGTGACGCTTCACATACGAGTATGACGAGCTGGTCGTCATACTCCTCGCTGGTCATAACTCCCCGGAGCTCTCCCTCTCTCCACGCAGCGCCAGGTTTCACACTGGGCCCCGTTCTTTCATCGTGCGGCGCTTTCAGATGCGCTTCTGCGGCCGTCTGGAACGCTCCTTCCCTTTCGATATCAGGAAGCCACTGGGAGCACTGCACTTTTCAATCTAGATTGAAAACTCATTTTAGAACTGCTTTTTGCGTTTAGCTTTTTTGGTCCTTGCAGGGCAAAAATAATGTTTATTAACCAACTCCTGAAATGGGTTTGTGACCCCAGCACACGTGTACACATTAGCCAGTGAGATTTGAAAGGGGCTTTGTGCCTCGCCCAATCCTGAAAATAAATTCTGAAGATTCTCCACACCTTTACCTTGTAGACTTTCCAGCATGAAGCAAAATCACGCCGCCCCCCCCGCCCCCCCTTGCTCAGCACCATCCATGACTCTTGGTTCACGCCGCTAGAGAATGAATACATGGAGAGGATGGTAAAAAAACCCAAGTTTCAATTAACTGTTCCATCTAATGCGGATGCAATTCTAGTGGCGCGCGCCTATAATCCAGCATTGGTGGTGAGGGTTGGTGGCTGACACACGAGTGGTGAGGTGCCATACCACAGGTTCGCCAGGAAAAGGCGCTCAGGGCAGACTAACACCGCGCCCCCTTCTGTACGAGGCAGGCCTGCCGACACCCCCCTCACCCACGTGGGATTTTCCTCCACGTGCTCGTCGCATCCCACGTGAAACCCTCATTGACCGAGAGCATCTTACCATATAATACAGCAGAGAGCTTGGGCAAATATTGGTGGCGCCGGCTCACTGCCTCCCCTCCCCCACTGTCCGTGCTCGCTCGATGACTGCAAATTGGGAACATTTTATTGTTTCATGAACGACACTGGCTCCACACTCGCGCCTCTCAGCAGGGAGCGTTGCATTGCATATACGATATACCCAACTCTGCGATAATTCTCACTCGTACTGTGCTAAATGTGAATAAACCCGAGTTAAAGGACATCATCTGCAATGCAAGACGCGTCCGCGACGCTGGTTATCGGCAAACGCCATTGGCATCGTAACGTCTCTGCAACCTGCAACCTATGGGCGGCTATTAAAAATTGTCAACGAGAGCCAAACCATTTATCTGTTTTTATTTAACAAAATGGCATTTCAATTGTGTATTGGTTGCAAAAAAAGAGAAGACAGCACAGCACTGTACACGTTACCGCCGTGAACGTCAGTATAACGTCAGTAGAACGTTGCCCTTGTCTCGGGGGGGGGGGGGGGGGGGAGAGACGTCGCAACAAAGTCTGGGGAAACTAAAGTGGTGATTTGGCACATTTACATTGCAGGAGGGCGGCGAGGCGCACGCGCGCTCACAGCAAAGGCAAATCACGCAAACCGAACGAGAATGCGTAGATGTGGGGGGGCTGAAGTGAGCAGTGAAATGTGCTCTCGTCTCCCAGGAAGGACCCCTTCAAGTGAGGTCCGCAACTCCAGCGGTTTCCCCTTAAAGCGACCGCTCAAGCGGAACTCGGCGCATCTCACATGACCCCCCCCTCTCTCCCTTGGGTTCAACCTAGAATTACGGAAACTCAAAACGAGCCACCTCTTCGAACAATCAGACGAGTGCCTGATCGTTACAGTCGGTCGGTTGTTTAACCAGGAGGGTGGGTTGAGGATGAAATAAAAGTGCCTGAGTAGAAACTAGAAATCAGTCGTTTTTTTCAGCACAAGGAATCCGTGTGTACACAACACCACGGAGGTGGCAGCAGCCTCGCCGATGAAACACGCAAAGCGATGGCGGCCCTCCCCAGCTCCCCTCCAAGAGTTCAGTGCCCCCACGGTAAACCGTTGCGTCACCCCGTGAAGCTGCTGGACCCCCCCCCCCCCCCCACGTGCCGACCCCCCCCTCGTCGTGAGCAAAATGACTGCAGATACAAATCAACGGGACATGCTCATCGTATGTCATTTTATTCGTTTTACATATATCGTAAGAACTGATAGGCACATTAATCCACTTTTTACTAGCTCAGTGAACGCTGCCAAGAGCAGACCCCGCACACTTGAAAATATTCTTTTGCAAGAGCGTCTTTTTATTTTTGTGTTGCTTCCAAAGTGAAAAGAGGGTTATAACCTTTATTAAATATTTCTCGATTCAGCATCTCGTATGTACAATTTTTTTCTCTTTCCCACCCCCACTGCCCCATCTGTTGCATCTGTTGTTTTCTTTTTTATGATTAATGTCGGATAAAGGTCGGAGGGTCAAGGAACGGGGGAGGGGAGAGAGAAAAGAAAGCGCACCGCTGCGACGCACCAAGAAAACCACCCTCTCTCTGTCTCTCCGGGGTGGGTGTGTGGGGGGGGTCTTCTCCACAGAAGCCAAAGCACGACTTTCTCACAATCAAATGGCTCGCCTCTCATCTGTTGCATCGTCTTTAGACAGAGTTATTAACCTCTGTCGCCAAAAGCCACGAAAAAAAGAAAAGCCCAAGCGGATCGAGGATCTAAAAAAACAAAATCGAAATCATAAAAATAAGCGAAAAAATTCTATCGAGTCCAGCCTCTTCCTTGCGCTCATTATTGTTGCGTCGTTCTCTAGGGTTGAAGTCATCTTTGTTTCAAGGCGAAAACTGGGAAAGGTCTATTTTACAGCACTTATTTTTTTCTTAAATAGAAATTCTAAATTGATCGAACAAACTGAGCAAGTGTGGACTTTAAAAAATAAATTAAGGTAACCCTTAATTTTCTTTATTATATTTTTTTACGTTTTAACTTCTTTTTTGTATTTTTTATACTTTTTCATACGTATTATTTCTCATAAAGCTTCAGAGAACTGGAATTTTTTTGCGATTTAACCAGCACTTAACAAAGAGAAAACAAATATTTCTTAAAACTTTTTTTTGCCATAATAATAAATACAGCTCTGTGATGTCATCTCTCACCGTCCCACCCCGCCCTAAGGCGCCGTCGTTGTCACGTTCAACGACAGCTTTCGCGTGGAGCGACGCGAGGGGGAGGGAAGAGAAAAAAAACCCAATCACGTTTCTGTTTTTAAACACGAACAAAAACAAAAATGCAGAGTAATCATGATTAGTTATCCTGACAATCCTCAGGCTTTTTCAAGTTTGTCAAAAAAAGATGCAAACGAACACGATAAATCAGTCAATCTATATTAAAAAGTGAAAATGGTTTGATTTGCGGTCGGTGATGGGGGGGGGGGTTAAGACTCCTGGTTCAACAATTCTAAACCGCTTCTGCCGATGCTTAGCGCGCACTCGCCAGACAACGCCGAACTACAGCTCGGTGAGGGGGGGGATGGTGCGGCGGCAGTTGCAGCAGCCGCTCGCCTGGCCGTTGGAACTACATAAATACTGATCTCATTGCGCGCTAATCATTAGTTAACGACTCCTCCGCGACCATTTTATATCTGTTCGGCTGAAATTAACAAAGGAAAAAACCCAAAAACAAAAATCAGAACAAAAAAAGTGGAAATGAAGTCAGGAAATGTTTTAAACAACTCGGGGAAACTCGTAATTTGGAAACTCCAGCCCTGGCGATGAGGAGAGATAGAGAGAGGGCCTCCCTCTCCCCACCTGTACCTCGCAAAATCCTCAAAACGTATCGTGAGTGACAGTTTCGCTTGTGTCGGCCATTATCGCCAAGCGGCCCGGGGGGGTAGTGGGGGGGGGGGGCGGTCGACCACTTAGAAGGGGGCGGCAGAGGCTGATGGACAAAGAAGAGCGCAGGTCGGGATCCGAGAGGTGCGGGCGGGCGGGCGCGCGCGTGCCGCAACACAACAGGAATAAACACCCCAAAATATGAAAATAAAAAGCCAAAAATAAAACTTGGGGCAGGATGCGTAGTTTTTTTTATTTAACGATTTATCCGCCGTCGTCTGTCTCTCAGTTGTCCTCGGACTCCTCGTCCGCCTCGCGGAGCCACTTGAAGAAGGAGGTGACCGACTTGAGCGCGACACCCTTGCCCTGCTGCTCGGCTGGGTCGTTGCTCGTCTCCCACTGGTAGAAAGTGTCCTCGGAGATGATGTCCTCGTCATAGAGGTTGTCAAACAGTGTCTGGAGGACCTCTGCACGCGTGCAACGGTGGGGGGCGAGGGAGACACGGGCGGGCGGCGGAAGGTCACCGTGACGCGTTTGTCTCAACCACGGCTGCTCAGCAACATGCCCACAAGTAGCAACAGATTGGCGCAGTGCGGAATATTAATCTTTATTTTATCCTGGATGAATACGATGAGCTCAGCTATGAAGCTCTTTTATCCAAAGATGTCCGCACTTCCGCTTAACACGGTTGGCTACATCTGGTGCGAAAGATGTTCAACATGCGTAGTAGTAGGGGCGGGTCACAAAGTTAGAATACAAAAAAGCCAATAGGAGTGCAAAGTATAGGAAGGGTAAGCACATCAGTAAAAATAAATATATCAGCATAAAGTTTAAATTGCAAAAATGCATCAATTCCCAAGTTTGGCAGTGCGAGAAAGAGCTTCAGAAATGCTGCCTCAGACCCATCACTCCTGGGGGGCTAACAAACTGAACCCACTTATCCCATGAGAACAGCCCCCTTCCCAGGCCAACGCATGGCTCAGCAGTGCAACAGAAAAGAGCAGTTTGGACGAGGGCATGAGCAGCACTCGCAGCGAAGATAAGCCCAGCTCATGTGAGGCACAGTGGCTGAATGAACGAAAGTGCCTTTCTGTCGACGGACGGGATGCTGCTGCCGCCGCCGCCAGTTATTGCTACCAGAACAGCGATCGCTACGAGGACAGGCACGACAAGTTCAATTCAGCCGGTCGGCTGGGGTCACTGCGTGGTCACTCCACCCGTTGTTAGGCTCAAGTTACAAGCCCCGCTATGATTCACTCCGGCATGCTAATGTGAGCTTTAGCCATCAACCAAATTCCACATTGGGAAATGGGCCTCGCTTGGGCCACTGAAGACTTTGGTACACGGGCAGGTACCAGGACTTATGAAGCAGTGTCAAGGCAACACTCCTCCTCCTCGTAGTTCCTCGCGTTGGCAAAAACACTCTCCCTAAGAGAGGGAGACGGGCTGCGGTTGCCCGGGCACGATCTCGTCGTGCCGGATCGCCACGGCGCCTAGAGGAGCCGAGCGACGCGAGCGGGCGCGCTACTCACTTGGGGGGTGATCGAGCTTGAAAACCAAAGCCTGTAGTGCATAAAGTGCTTCCAGCTCCCGCGTGGCAACTCCATCCAGGTACTTGATCAGTATCCGCGTTCTGCTCGTGATGGTCGGGGTTTCGGTGACTTGGGCTCTATGGTCCTCTGTGGGGGTGGGGCACGGCGTGGAAGAAACGGGGGAGGGGGTGAGGGGGGTAGGGGGGGTTACAACGGCGCGAGGAGGAGCACTGCGGCATCCGGGAAGACTACAGCTGGGGAACCATTTAAACAATCCACCGCACGTCACCCGAATCCACTTCCTAGGCAATAGACGTTGAAAGTTTCTATTCGTCTCAGCCACACGCAACGCAGAATTTGGCAATCGACTTATACACCACTCCAAATGGATGAAGAGCAACCTATGTGTCCATGCCCAGAACGTGGCGGTTATTTTGGGACAACAATTATAAAGGTCGGCCTTGTCAGAAGCTTACTGAGACACGGAGATTCGGCTATGTATACGCAAAGCACATGGGGAGTGCGGGGGCAGGGGGTGGTGAATCATGGGCACAGTGAGGCTCTCATTCCGGTCCTATCCGCAGGGGCTTTAATCCACACCGATCCAAGCAGGCGCAACGTCGACCTCAGCCCGGACGGAGTAAAACGTGCGTGCGTGTATGCAAAGGAACTCACCGATCGCACACTGGCACAAGGACGTCATGAGCGCCCTGATAAATGCCGAAGATTTAGTCTGGCTCTCCTCCAGGTTAACCTGCGAGCACAACGAGCGGCAGAGGGCACACACACGCACGATGAGCAGGGGTGGCGAGGGCAGTGTCGTATCACAACTGTAGGACGTCGGACTCGCAAAAACTACTTAAAATTAGCGCAGTCGAGGACACAATTTAACCGCATCTCAAGACAACGCATGATGAAATGTAGGGAGCAGGGACATCAATTGTGTGTACAGCAGCCCGTTATTGTGCGAATCAAGATAAATTACGACACGGAAGATAACGGTCGTGAGCACAAGTCTTCAGACTGGAGTGAAGGAGTGGGAAGGCATGGATCACGCACGCAGCCAGAGGGAGCGTTCCAGAGACAGTAAATGGCAGCAGCAAGGGAGCAGCCACTGTACACACACACACAACAGTTAATGTGCAAGGCTGCTGCTGGGCAGAGATTTTTGGCGGGTAAACGCGTTAACCAGCTGGGCCTTGTAGGCCATTTCTCATCGCCGCTTTGTGACCCTGAGACAGCAGTGGGGAGGTCCCTGTGTGCCGTGGTGGCCTTCACAGGTGACCGCCAACAGCGAATGTAAAATGATGAAAAATATGAATAAGTTTCACCCTCTCGGGCAATCAAACAGGTGTTAAATAAGGATGCAAACACCAAATAGATACCTTCTGCAAGGCATCAAGTCTCCATTAACCACACGTAAAAATATGCAAACAAACATGATAATACATGCATTGACCAACACCAGAAAGAGCCTTATTTATTTGGTGTTTGAACACCTTTACACCTCCTGTTTTATTGTTCGGAAGAGTAAAACTCTTATTTTTCCTAATTTTAGATACTGGCAAGAAGGTCCCAACGGCTTATATAAAAGCTTACACGGGTGATCTATGTTCTCTGCATGCGCGAGTGTGTGCATGCATTTGTGTGCGCATGTGCGTGTGTGTGCGTGTGCGTGCGTGTGTGGTGCGGTAAAACAACCCCCGACCTCCTCGTGGTGCCGGACGGGCAACGCTGTCGTGGACAGTGCTGTGGAGGGGAGGGCCAATTCCAATTGGCCTTTGCTAACGATCATTAAGGGTAAAACTACGTGGCCAGGAGTCCGAGCCATTCCCTGTATACCTTGGGGTGCGACAGGGATGTCCTCTGGCTCCCACATTATTTAACATTTATTTCGACCACGTAGTTCTTGAAGCCTTCAATAGCTGTACCGGAGGAATTTCCATCTGGTACAGATACAATGGGAGGCTGATCGATGCCCGGGTGCGTCAAGGGATTGCTCCCTATTGCGCAACCACGTTATGTATGCCGATGATCTGGTAATTGCTGCTCACTCAGAGGAGGAGTTGGAGGCGCTGCTGCTGAACCTAGAGCTTGCCACCAAGAGGTGGGGCCTTACCATCAGCCCCACCAAAACTAAGCACCTGCCTGGGTATTTTGAACCATCGGACACTCCACCCCCACAACTCCCAATTGGTGATGGGGCAGTTGTGGAGAGAGTGGAGAGTTTCCCATACTTGGGCAGTGTGCTCATGACCGGCTCTAGTTTAACAGCAGAGGTCTCACTCCGAATCAGTCGAGCAGCATTATCTTTTCATCGGTTGCGTAATGCTGTGTGGAAGCTACCTGGTCTATCACTCCACACGATGCTTCAGGTCTTCTCGGCCACGGTCATGCTCTCCCTTCTCTACGCTTGCGAAACATGGACACCCCTAATGGAACATCTTCGCCGGTTATAAACATTTAGGCTGGCCTGCCTATGATCCATCCTGGGTTTAACCAGGCTCGATTGTGTGAGCTCACAAATCCTTGAAAGATGTGGACAAAGTCCCATCGGAGAGCTCCTCCGGCAGGCAAGGCTGCGTTGACTGGGTCATGTAGCCCGCATACCCAACCACCGCATGCCTAAACAGCTTTTGTTTGGCTGGATCGAGGGGGCTAAACGGGCGCGGCACGGGCTAGAGAAGAGATGGAGTGACGTGGTACAGGAGGACGTGGAGCTGAGTGGACTTGCCGATGACTGGTACCAGCGGTGTCAAGATCGGCCTCCGTGGAGGAGGCTCGTGAAGGACGCTACTGGGCAGTTGGAGGCAGTCCCCCTCCAACAAGAACGGAGGGCGGAGGAGCGACGCTCACAACAATGAGCGGAGCACCGGGTGGCTAAAGCACAGCCAGTTGGCACAGTAGGGGGCACAGGTGGTGCATCAGCCAGTTGTCCAAGTCAGTCGACCTGCGGCATCTGGGTCTGCCCCGTGACATCCTGCCAGCGGGCATTCGACACTTCACATGGCCTTAAGGTGCACATAGCCTGGCACAAGCGTCGTGGTGACGTCACCGTCACTTAGTGGAGAATGGCGGTTGTTATTGTGCGTGTGTGTGTGTGTGCATGTGCGTGCATGGGTCCCCCTCCCCACTCCTCTTCACCTCGATCCAGTCGAATATCCTCTCATTGTCGACCTTCTCCTGCAGCAGCCGGTTCAGGTGCTCTTCCACCTCCTCCATGGACATGGCCGCTCTCTTGACGGGCACCTCCACGGCGGCGCTGGCCTCCGGCAGCGTGAACTCGAGCTTCTGCGCGACGCCGAGAGACAAGGCGGAATCGCATACGCGGTGAGCCCCACGGCGCTGCAACCGAGACAGCCCTTGCACCGCGACTGCCGCGTGTGGATGATTGAAATGTACCTCCAGCGTATGGCTGGCTTATCACGTTAAAGGTCAAGGGTAACCCCGAGCCCATAGCCCCTCTCGAAAAAGAGCTGTATAGCTCAGTGGGGGGGGGGGGGGGGGGGAGGCGCACGAGGGTACGGGGAGGGGGAGCATGTGGGCGCGATGCGGGGCGCCGCGGTGCCGTCTGTGCGCACCTTCTCCGTGATGAACCTGGTCACGTTGTCTCCCTCCGGCAGGATCAAGGCCCAGTTGAGCCCCGCTTGCCTCCACATCGCCCCCACCTTGGTGTGGCTCTGCAGAAGCAGGGTAAGCAGCAAAGAGGGTGCACACAGCGCCAACGGTTAACCACACAGCGTGCACACAAGGTGTTTCACACGCACACCTCTCCTCAGGTCGACAACATGGGAATGCCATTTAGCCAAGCTGCACCGAATGCTTTTGAGTCGGTACGCACGCTGGATCGCTAACAAATACGCCTAACTGAAATACAAATGTGTCCAATTCTATACACGTTCAGTGTCTGGACGTATGTACGCTGAACTTCTTTCATACCGTACGTAGCCAAACGTGGACATCCGATGCACGGGGAAAATGACAAACGAAGTGTCGCACATGGGGCCACAATTTCAACTTCGTTGGAGGCCACTGGATTTGCCCAGCACAAAATGAATGAAAAGACAACCAGAACAAATTAACAAGTGGGAAATGTGATACAACGACGCAGGTGCGTGCACAATGACGCTGGCGCGTGCACATCCAATGTGCACCAATGGGTTAAGCACCTACTGAGGCCAGAACAGCGCAGGAGTGGCGGCTGTGGCCAGCGCAGAGGCCCCTGCTTTACGGTTGAGTCGACATAGGCTAGGCTCACGACCGGTTTTGATATCACTCGCGACCGATGTGAACCATGGCTGCGTCGTCGGGTTCCACCCATATACACAGTACACATTGCACAGTTCCTGCAAACACAACAGCCACTGTTCTCCACAAAGTGGAGGTGACATCACCACAGCACTGATGCCAGGATAAGGTGCACTCTGAGGCCACGTGAAAGTGTCGAATGCTCACTGACAGGAGGTCAGGAGATGGACCGAGGTGTTATGGGTTGACTGATGATTGGCAGAGGCACCAGCCATGCCCCCCCCACCGTGCCAGGTGGGTGCACAAAGATACACAGGCACGCACTAAGCCTCTCACCATTTGCTTGCACAGCAGCAGCAGAATGTCGGCAATGAGGACGTCGGCCTTGCCCACAGGACGCAGAGGCTTCACCACCTCCCTGCAAAGGGTGGCACCAGACAAACACGGGGCGGCCGGCGTGAGCGTCACGACACATCCACCTACCTCGAGGAGCTCGTGCCTCACTCAGGAGCTGGAACTAGCCTGGGCTGAGACCAAGGCCAGCCCAGGTTCATAGGTCAAAATATAATTCGCAAAGCTCTTGTGTAGACAGCCGCGGGGATATTAACTTAGGCGCCTCGCAAGTCGAGTGCTACGACAGCCGTGAACAGCGATGGTGGGAGTGTGCGCAAATGAGACTAAACTAAACTAGTTTTATTTTACCAAGTAAAGCCCACTGACCTATGAGCTCTTTTTCAGAAGCGACCTGGTCACAAACGATAGCTCGATGAGGTGGCTTATCACGTGCAAATTTATAGCAGCCAAATACTCTTTACGTATATTGATTATAAATGTGGAAGGAAAAACCGGAGGACCTGGAGAAAAATCCACACGACAATGGGGAAAGAGACATGCCAAACTCCAAATATACATGCGTCCGGGTCGGGATCAAACCTACGTCCTGCATACCAGGCGAGGGAGTTAACATCTCGCCACCGAGACATCGGCAGGTCGGGTGGGGGAGCAGTTCCATTGCAAGATTTCCCTGCGTGGATGTGCGTCGGGCGATGGCGCTACTCACGAGCAGAGCTCCTCCAGGGTGATGCTCCCCTCCGTTACCATGGGCACGATCAGCTCGCCCAGGTACACCCAGATGTGAGGAATATCGATCTCCATGTCCTCGGATGACTCCAGGATCTCAACCAGCCTGAAAAGCGCACGAGCCACGCGTTAGCACACCGCGTGCCAACCGCGTGCCGCACGCGTGCCGCCCGCCGCAGAAGCTCCTCACGCTTAGGCCACCCCGTGCTGCGTCAGGAATCGACTTCTCGCCGCTCTGATTCACGTGGGGCTGTGACTGGGGAAGAAAGGTTTCGCACGCTGGATGGGAAGTGGTGGCGCAGTGGGTTGGTGGTGCATTGCGTAATGAACCCAGCCAGTGACCTGAGCTGAAGTGGCCGTCACGGCCAACATCATTGGATAGAAGGATCGGCGCCACCCCCCCCCCACCCCCCCTTCATCACCAACCTGCACTGACCAGAGTGGTGATGTATGGTCAAACGACAGCACAGGGAACGATGGTGAATAATGGTGCCGCAATGAACGCGTGAAAATTTTAATGCAGATATTAATTTCATCAAGAGCCGTGTGACACGGAAGTGCAGGGTGCGGCATTAAAAGGGGGTATCCAAGTTTTCGGGCCAATGAATGCATTCCGGACACCAAAACGCCGATGTTATGAACGTGTACAGAGGGTGATCGGGAGCGGTGGACAGGCCACTGTGCATATTGCTAGACGGATAAGGACGAGGCAGACACCACGCATGAGCTGGGCAAGCGATAAGAATGGAACAAGCTGGAGTGGAGAGACACAGGCAAGAAGATCGCAAAACATTCTTGGTCAGCAGCGGTGGCAGCCAGGATACGTTGAGTCGCCAAGAGCGGTCGGTGTCCCAACAGGGGGGTTGTGATTGAAGAAGACCAAGAGTTTTATTAGCAGGAAGAGGCACGTGACCGGGCACACGCGTGGTCGGCTCACCCCTTGAAGTACTGCGCCTTGGTCATGGCACCCCTGAGCACCAGCTGGGCCACCAGCTGACCCATGTGCTCGCGCGTGATGGTGCTGCGCTCCAGCGTCGACTCCATGCCCGTCCGCACGAACACGTAGAGCAGTGTGGGAGAGTGCAGCTCTATCACGCACTGCACCGCCTCCTGCTCCGGACGAGCGTGTGTGGACAAACGTGCCATGTCAGTGATGAGGGGCAGCCGAGGCCCCCAGCCACGCTCAAGCTCCCCCCCCCCCTCCACCAGAGCCGTCTGACAAACTAAAACCACAAACTGAACAATTTTTTATTTTACCAGGTAAGGTCCCACTGAGCTATACGGCTCTTTTTGTTTTTAGAAGTGACCTGGCTATCACAAATGTACAATTAAGTTACAGAAACAAAACAGATCATGGTATGGGTCACCACACATCAGGGTGAGGACTTGGGGCTTTGCTCTCCATTACACTTCACATATAGTGAGGGATCGAGTTAGCAGCAGCAGCAGCAGCGTTGGAGGCCCATGCGTACCTTCATGTCGTTAATGTGCAGGAACTCGTCAATGATGGCCTGGGCTTTCCTCTCCACCTCCTCCTCGCTGAGGGCCGGCTTGGTTGGCGCGGCAGGCGTCGCCACCTCCTCCTTGCCTGCATCACAGCCACGGGGACACACACGCGCGCGCGAGCGTCACACTTCGCTCAAAGCACACCGCAAGTGAGCGGCGACCTTGGGTTTATGCGACGCGCCGTCTGTTGTCTTCATGCTAAAAAACAAGCCTCGGAGGGTGCTGCTCTTCCGAGCCAACTGTGGTTAATATACCACGTGCCTATGGTGAGGGCCATTTTATTAATAACACTGCCACTGCAGACTTCCCACAAAGTGGAACTGTTTGTCTGGGTCGACGAACCCAGGAAATTTCACCCACAATCACATCCAATATACCTCTAGATATGACTGCAGCTACCACTTCTCACCTATTCGAGTAAACCAGCAAACCTGCAAAATATTCATTGAAAAATTATTCTCTGGGTTAAACTGAACAAAACCCCACCATGAAAATTCTGTCGAAATCCAGTAAGCCGCCAGAACAGCCATACTACTGGAGGATATTACATTTTCAACTCGACTCATTCAATATTCAAGCTGGAGACAGGAGTAGGTGCAGGTGCATGCGTGAATATTGTGGAGGTCGGGACACAGCCGTGGAGGACACGGGGCGAAACACGCACCAGCGCTGGGCGTCCTGTGCTGCTGCTTGCGCTCGTCGTCACGCTCCCGCGCCCGCTCCTCGTGCTGCCCGGCGCCGCCGCCGCTGCCGCCCGCCCTTCTCGCCGCTCCCTCGCGCTCGCTGTTGCGCTCGCGGCTCCGCTCGTCCGGCTGCTCCTTGCTGAAGCTGCGCTTCGTGATACCAGGCGGCCGCGCGCTCCTCTCCATGCCGCGCTCGACGCGCTCAGGGCGTTCGCGACCAGTGCTGCCCCTGCGGTGCGCGCGCGTGCGAGACGGTACGTACGCCGTGGATAATTGCACCGCTTTGAAAGTGTTGAAACAAATTAAAGATGGAGTTTAAACGTATGACGTATGGATTGCAAATATGGACACGAAAGAGAAGCTGAAAAGTGCACGAAACATGGAGAGGTGCACGCTTGTATGCATGTTCAACTTATTTCTCACAGTACGTAGCCAACCACGTTAATCGGAGGAAGGAGGGTGGGGGTTGGCTGGGGGCGGGGGGCTCGCGTAGCTACATCTGGCGTCGCTCACACAGGACTCGCTGACAGCGGCAAGTCCACACGCCCCCAACTGAGACTGCAGCTTTGCTCGCGAGTTTGTGTGTGTGCACTGTCACGCGGACTCTTGTCTCATGACCACCTGCACACTGGCGGAGCCAGTGGGGGGGGTGGGGTGGCACATGCCCCCCCCAATGATCCGATCGAAATCTCTAATATCGATCGGATCGTTGGGGGTTTCTTAGTAATAAATCGTCATTTTGTGACCACCACCGCCACTGTGTAGCTTATTATTATGTGCCAGGGACTCTATGAGATGATAGTCCATAATTGGCAATAAGTAACGGCAAAGCGGTTATAAGCGACTCAGAATTGTGCGCAGTTGCATATATAGTACACTACTTCCCTGAAGGCATCAACACCTTCAGCGAGCGCGATTCCGATCACACACGGTTCGAATTCGACCCTCGATCGATTGCTGTGCCATCGCCGCACACGCGTCAAATAAAAAGCATGGGAAAAGTCCTTCCTAACTAACAACTCCTATAATTTTTCATTGCTGGAGGGGTTGCCCCCCTCCCTGAAAATCCTGGCTCCGCCATTACTCCTGCAGGTGAGCCTTCGACACTTCACGTGGCCTCAGTGTACCCAGCCTGGCACGAGCGCTATCATGATGTCACCGCAACTTAATGGTGAATGGTGGTGGTTGTGTATTTTCATGCTTTTTGTGTCAGTGTGCATAGCCCTAATGATAATGTTGAAGTTCTGTGCAAAACTAGCTACAACTGGCCAAGACTAATTAGAGAATCAACCGAAATTGAAAGAAATAAAAATTATTTTTACCGTTCAGATAGCTACCGCCTTATTGCTGCGTGGAAGCGAACCGTCAAATAAAACATTGTTTAAATGCATGCCTATAAAGGACACCATACTTCAATAGGGATTAAGCGTTGGTAGGCTATTTTAATACACAATGAAAAGGAAGGACAAAATAAAAGGGTTCGCATAATGGGCATGCATAATGTACGTTGACTCACCCCCCCAACTACTTTGCGCAAGAGCTCATAAGTGTGGTCACCACATCTACGCCGCTATATAAGGAACGAAACAGGTGGACTTCTCCACCAATCTGTCTGTCGCCTGATGAAGCGAATTGTAATTACTGGCGAAACGTCGTACTCGTATTGTAAATGTTGTGGCTTGGCTTTCCAACACACCGGTGTGCTGTACTAGTGACGAACTGGCACGTTCTGTTCACGTGACAACCTTTACTAGCTGGCTGTCAGGTGGTGGCGAGTTTTAACGACACATTTATATATTTAGGCAATCTAACCCAAAAAAAATCTCTATTAAGGATGCATAGCCCTGTATGTCTGTGCAATGGTGCCACAATTTGAATATGTCTGTCTTTGTTGGTGCTTTTATGCGGCAAGGTAAGGCATGATTAATGGCTGCTTGCTCTCATGACCAGGTGTGCTATGCTAAGCTATGCCTGCGCATGGTCTGACGCATCCGAGCATGCCGTTACTTGCCTGCTAGGGCCATGCTATTACAGGGCCTGTGCATGAGGAAACTCCTAAACTATGCGCTAACCGTGTCTGTGATGTACAGACTATTAGTGTGCGATTACGTATTTGAGACAATTTGGTATCAAGTACTCGAGACGAGGCCACCCTGCAGACAAGTACGAGCTGGAGCTACGATGCACGACGGAGCTGTGCCAAGCGGGGGGAGGCGTAATCGTGGCTCTCACATTGTGCTCCCCATTCTGGTAAACCCAGGATGAAAAGTCTGTTTGTGTAAAATTCCCAGGGGGATATTGTACGTACACCCTGCATTGGGCCTCCTCTACATCAACTCAGCCCCAGAGAAGTATGTGGAGCCACAAATAATAATCACTCAATAATAGTCAGCAATGCTATTGGCCACAGTACCCCGATGTTCACTTTGGTTAAACTCCCCGCAGAGGCGACGGGCTGATGGAAACCCGAGATGCAGACCCCCCTGAGTGCCGACATCTGGGGCCGTTTAGCCACCCGGCACGCCGGGGCGGTACTAGCACGCGCACGCACGCCGCTGTCTGACCTGCTGATTGGTCTCCGGCTGTCGCTGCTCTCCGAGGGAGGTTGCGCCATCTGGTTCTGCAGAGCCGAGTAGCGGTTCGGGGCAGTGCCCACGCCGCCGCTGCTCTGGCCCAACTCTGTATGCGTGCGTCGTGCGCACACACAGACCCACACAGACACGTGCACGCGTGCGTGAGGAAAGGCGGTGTGAGTGTGAGTCGCTTAGCCAAAAAAGTGCACAAAACACAGAAGGCTCTTTCCATACGGTGCAAAAGAAGTGCAACATACACAGTATTATAATCTTTCTTTATCCTGGAGGAATCCAATGAGCTAAGACGCTATTTTTCACAGATGTCCAGTCGGGGCTAATGAGATGCCACCAATGACAAGAATTAAAGTAAATTGGCGGAGGGAGTCCTTAGTGACCTGTGTCAGGGAGAGCGGAGAGAGGCTGCATAATTCTAGACGGGTGGGATTAAAGAAAGGCAAGATAGTAAGGCATCAAGTGCTTCCAAGAACTCAAGAAACAACAGCTGGAGCACAGTCCCAATCAACAAGACTGGGACTGTGAAATTGAATATCCCAGTATGGGTAGCCTGGTGGCTTCCTGGATTTCAGCAGTAGTCTCGTGGTGTTTTCTTTAATTATTTCTAGAACGTCTGGCCCGCCAGGCAGCTGACGGCACCAAGGGAAGGAGTCGTGATCACGCACATAAACTTAGCCCGGTAAACAAGCAGACGCCTGTGTGCTATGATCTTTGTGTGACAAGGATGATGATGATGTTGTGCTGCATTCCCCGTGGCTCCCCCGCCCCACCCCCCCCAGCCATAATCGAACTCAAGGTTGGTGCTGCGGACTCTTACCTGTCTCAATGGGTTTGGATCCAATGCCGCCGCTGCTGCCCTTTCCCCAGTGCCGGTTGGCAGGTCCCAGCTGAATGTCATCCGACATCGGCTAGCGCGCGCACAGCGGACGGGACAGAGCACAGCGCTCGGCATCGTTTGCTCGCGCCGATCGGGTGAACATTTAAATCGGCGACAGCTCACAGCTTCCGCTTTCGCGGGCGGCACCACGGTGGCGTGCGCTTGTGCGTGGAAAGTATCAGTGAACAATCGTGGCTATCCCCAAAAGCGGTGCAGTGGCATCGGCATGCGTGAACGACGTGTAATAATGTAACCCAGCTTTCACCGCTCGTCGTACAGTTTTGTACGGAGATAAGAACACGCAGGGAAACGGCAACAGGTTTTTCCTCGTGGCTTGTACCACCTCGAGGCGTGAACTCAAAAAGTCGGAGATTTGCTGCTCAAGTGAGCATTTTAAGGCGGTGCTTATCTCCAGTTTTCATCCCAGTGCCAGTGGTCGAAATTCTGCGTTCCTATGGCAGGGGTCGAGTCTATCCATAGTGTTGGCTTCCCCACAAAGTGGAGCTCATTTTATTGACCCCAGAAAGCTAATCTGCTAAATCAACCTTGCGATCGAGAGCCGTTCAATCTATCTCCGAGCCACCCGTATCAGCTGGAAGCAAGCGCATGAACAGGGTGGTCACTGACATCGATGATAGCGAGATCCCGCGTAGTTTTAGACATCGCTGCTCAAGGTGATTGAGGAGACGGGTGATTACCTTCGAGAGCTTGAGCTTGGAGGGGTCGAGACCTCGGGAGCTCTTGTTAATTGGGACTGTGCTCCAGCCCTCATCTGGCTGGGGTGGCCCACGCACCGCTATTCACAGGAACACAGGCACACACACAGGTAAACACAGATGCATGGGACAAGCATGCAAGCGCACATGCATTCAAGCAGAAATATCGACAGCGACAAAGGAAATTGAACAAATGGTGATAAGTGTACAAAATAGGATGGTTAGACGCACCCCGAAATTACTACTGAGAGACACACAAGATGTGGGCGCATAATATCTGCTTGTCAGTCTCGATGTGCTCCAGCGCCTTTGCTGTCGCAATTACGTCGTGCTTGTGGAGGGGGGGGGGGGGGGGGGAGTTGAGCGATGGAGGCAAGGGGAAAGGGGGGAGAGTACGTGTGCGTGGAGCCAACTTATTTTCAAGTGGCAGAAAGGTGCCAACTGTGCCGCCAGCGGCGAACCCCTCCGATGGCGCGTGGTGGTCGTGACCGCAGACACCTGCGTCACCGCGAGCTGCTGCGAGGCAATTACCCGGTGCCGTGTGCATGCTGGGGCCTCCTCGGCCGGTCCCACGCTTGTCCACCTGCTGGCTCTGTCCCTTAAGCTGCTGCTGCACCCTCATCTGCTGCTGCTGCTCCTCGATCTGAGCCTCGCGGTGAATCTGCTCGATGGTCTTGGGTCCCAGGTCTCCTCGCCTCGGCACCCAGGTATTCTGCACGCACGTGAGACAAACGGAATCGCGGACCACCGCGTTATCGACGAGCGGCACGGCGGACTCGAGTGACGGCGTCGCAGAGGCGCCCCCCCCCCCCCCGCTGCTGTCGCAATGACGTCGTGCTTATAGAAACCGCGAGTAACAGCAGCAGCAGCGTAGGTCAGTGCGTCCCGTGGTCACGTGTGCAGGGAGAATCGGTCTCGTGAGGACCCTTCGTTACTGGAATCAATGAAGGGCGGTCAAATCAGAAATAGAATAGCAGTGTTGGCTATACTGCAGTAAGGATGGCGAGGGTAGCCAAAAACATATCCTTTTCTCAAATTTGTTGCTATCAATGTCACATAAGAGATGAACAATACAAGCAGGATCTCTTGCAGAGTGCAACCTTTCATGTAAAACAACAGCCCGCAGAAGTGGATATCAGAGAGATACCTTTGAGAATAAGAATATGTGTTTATACTGGAGGAAACCGATGAGCAATAAAGTTCTCTTTCACAGATGTCCAGTAGGGGTGGGTAAGAACGTTACAATACAAAATACGATAGGAGTGTAAAGCATAATGGTAAAGAAATCACTTAAAAACGTACAAATAAAACTATCCCACTGAGATATTAATTTATTTTTCAGAAGCGACCTGGCCACAAATGATAGCTCAACAAAAGTGGCTTATGATGTGGAAATTCATCAAAGCAAAGTAATCTGAGTAATTGAAATAAATGTTTCTAAATAACACAGTAGGGGGCAGCACTTTCTTACTCGCTCTGCCATGAGTGTAATTATCTTTGCACGACTGGAAACCTGATATTTTTAACTCCCAGAGATGGAATTTAGCAACATTAAATGAAGAGCCAAATTTTAAGTGGGCAGTCATTGGAGGTTGGGCGGACAGAGCAGACATTTCAAGAACGTGACCGACCACGAAAATTAGCTGCCTCATTAAGCACATGCATTTTTTTAAAGTCAAGATTATGAATACTCTCGTGAAATCCAGAACTTTTAAGGGTTTTCTTGTTCAAGTCGTTGCCATTCATATCGATAGAAGGATGAGGTTCCAGAGGTCCACGTGATCTGCATGTTTGCGCAGTCCCCCGCCTGCCGCCTTACCACCGATGGATGATAGCGACGCCTGTGGTGACCCTGCATAAGCCACCTGCATTTCCCTCCCGTCCTACCCTCCGCTCGCGCCCGTGCCATGGTGGGGGGTGGTGGGGAGTGGTGGGGGGTGGTGGGCACGAACCCTCCTGAGGTCGATGACGTCCTGCAGCATGAAGCGGATGCGCGACGACGTTTTCCTCTCCTTCACAATCTTCTCCATTTGGTGGAAGTACTGGTCCATGCGAGGCTGCAACAATGCAAAGCGCCTCCATTGCAATTGTAGTTACAACAGTCATCACATTTTGCATTCACCTCTTTCCCGTTCCGATGACATATGTGTATCCTTTCCGACAAAGGGAATACATCTCAATGCGATTTTACTCAGAGGGCATTTTTATCGTGGCAGTTTCAACAAGTTAAGACTGCATTACGGTTACGGTGCTAAGTGGTTGTTCCTGATCACTCGGTTCACGTGCCGGAAAAAGAGTTGCGACCATGGCGGTTATTCGGCAAGCACCTCATGAGCAACGTATGCACGTTTAGCACTGTACGTAGTCAACCGTGATCAATGGAGGTGCGGAAAAACAAACTAAACGCAAAAGGTAGCTTTAAAAGAATTTAAAGAAACGAGTTTTCAATCGAGATGATTTGAAAGAGCATAGCTCGAGTGGCTTGTTAATTTTGGAAAAACAGCGTTCCAGACGGCTGCAAAAGTGCATCCCAAAGTGCGCAATGAGGTGACCGTCTTTGTTTGATGGCCAGCAGCCAAAAGACGCTGCTGCTGCGAGAGTATGAGCGGAGTTCGCGTGACGGCAAGGTACGTCCCTCTTGCGCGCGCTCCACAATCGGTGGGGAACCCCCGCGGTGTCGGCCACACACCCACCTTGGCCTTCTCGAAGTCCAGGTCCTTGCCGATGGTGGTGAGCAGACGGCAGAGGCACTCGAGCGACTCCTCCTCGTGCGTCTTGAGCAGCTTGACGAGGCAGTCGTGCATGATCGGCTCCGTCAGCATCTTCAGCTTGAAGAGCTCGCCAATGAAGCGGATGTTTCCCAGCGAGCGTCGCCTCGCCTTGTCGCGAGAATCCTCCAGCTCGTCGTGCAGCCGCGTCCGCTCCTCGGGCTGCGTGGGGGGAGGAGGGCAGGAGGGGACGGGAGGGGGCGGACAGGAGTGCATACACAGCGGCGGCAGAAGAGACGCGTGAGGATTTGCTTGGAATTGGATTTGGGGCGCAAGGCGGGCCCGCACATTGCCTCAATTTATAAAAATACCTCACCTTGTATACAGGATGTCGTGGATTTGATCGCAACTCTTGACACTTGTATATTTGCAGTTTGCATGTTCTTCCCGGGGTCGTGGATTTTCTCCGGGTCCTCGGGTTTTTTCAGTCCACATTAAGAGTTAAGCGTTTCGAGTAATCGACTACTGCTTTAAATTTCCACGTGATAAGCAACTTCATTGAGCAATTATTTGTGGCCAGGTCACTTCTGAAAAAGAGCTAAAACAGCTCAGTGGGAATGTGGAGGAGGTGAATGGGCCTAGGCGGGTTCGGTAGCAAGGGTGCTTGGGCAGAGTAGTTTGCGTCAGTGAGCTATAGATGGCTTAGACAAGGCAGGCAAGCACTTAGCGCTAGCAAGCGGAGGCCAGCAGCTGCTGAAGGGATCTCTGGTCATCAGAAAACCAATGTCTGGTTGACATTCACAACATTTGGAGGGTGTGAATTGAGATGGCCTAATTAGGGCAGGGTTACAGGTTAAAAAATATAAACTGTTGGTAAATATCATTGTACTTCGCATTGTGTTTATACTGGTGTCAAATTCCCATACCATGCCCTCAGTGTGTACACGAATTGTTTGTTCAATAAAATACTTTCGGAAAAACTCCAGTCCACCCAGCGCAGCATGGTTCCTTGCCAAAATTACCAATTTACATCCACTCGTGTAAAAAGTATGCGGTTACAAGCTGCACACTTCCACCAATTGCGAAACACGTACCAAATAATGGACAGTACGCCAATCGATCCAATAAGAGATCTTGTGTGAGAGATTGCATATGCGACGTTGAGTGGATTCGTAAAGGAGCGCTCCCACCACGTCTCGTGGGACAAATGGTTAGCAAACATTAGCCACGTTAGAGCATGCCGTCTCTTCATTTGCATGCGATTGTAGACGACCGGAAAACACGGAAGGTGCAGACCCGTGGTGGATCTGGAGCTTGAGAAACCCTTAACTAGGCTGGGAGCAAGCGACCATGAGGCCTGGAAGCACGAGTGGTGGTGGTGTGACCTGGAAGCACGAGTGGTGGCGGTGTGACGGTGGTGGGAGGGCGCGGTTGCTGCAGAAGCTGCCTTCGCCCTGGGCAAGATGCCCTGGCCCAGTGCCAGAGCAAATGAATGAATGCCCTCACCAGCCTGAACCACTACCCCAGCAGCCTAAGCAGCCAGCTGCCAATTCAATTACTGCCCACTCGGCTGTGCTAATTTGTGTTGCTTTATTACAGCGCGTGCAAACACTGTGTCGTTCTCTTCGGTGTCACAAATGAGGCGTCAGGAGGATTTAATAAAGAGGCGAATTAAATAACTCACTTCTAGAAGTCAGTTTAACACGAAGGCTTTCAGGTCTTCGCACCTGATTGGCTCACAAGTGACGTCACATTTAACCCCTATATTTAAGACCGAAACAAGAGGATTTCTCCACAATTCTGGGTGTCGCTTGATGATACTGGTTGTAATTACCGGCAAAACGCCACGGTACTCAAATAATAAATGTTGTGGGTTTACTCTCCAACACACACCGGTGTGCTGAACTCGTAGCTAATTGACACATTTTGTTTACGTGACAAAACCTCACGAATTGGCTATGTTGGGTGGCGGCAGGTTTAATGAACCATTTATATTTAAGACATCTAACCCAAAAATCCATCTATTATAGATTATAGAAGTCAGCTAAATGGGTTGCTGCAGTGCAAGGGCACAGGATAGGCAGATTTGTGTTGTGGAAATACAAACGCTGGCCTGCCGTGTGGTTCTCTTCATTTGTTTGATTCGTTCGCGAAACATTCCCCCATGGCATTGAGTTCGGCGCAACGAGTGCGCACGTTAAACGTCTCAAATGCTCCATTGCCAAGAATTAACCGTTTGACAATGTTTTATCGTCACTTGAACACCAACATCATAAACATCTTGCAGCGATAAACAAAAATACCAAGGGAGCAGTGATTTAACGAGATGGTGGTTTTGGTCGCCTGCAGCGTCTGTCGAATTCAATCAATCAGCACACATCGGTCTAATTTTCACAAATAGGTTCAAACGTAAGAAGATCTATCTATAGCAGCTCAAGGACCCATGGACTGCACAACAATAAATTACATGTGCTATTGAGCATTTCATCAGTTTGTCATCTCTGAGACCATCTTGTGCAGCAGGGGCCGTTCAGACACAGGGCAAGAATGAGTCCTATGCAGTGATGAATGGGAAGTGGATAGAAACGCCACACAAGTGAAGTTTGAGCGGCGTCTCTCTTTCAGGGTCATTTCCCAGAGCGGCGGGGGAAAGAGCCTGCCCCTGTCTCGATGGTGTTCCGTTAATGTCGACTTTCACCGTCGCTGCAACGCCGACAGCACGACACGGACGTGACCAGTTTACAAATCCAATTACAAACGCTAATGCACTCAATCAATAAGGTTTTATCGTGCAAAGTTGATGAATTACACAAGTCAGCAGCAGTAGTTTCCTCATTACTACCCCGTCTGTGATTACGATGTGGGGGGGGGGGGGGATGCCCCAAGGTTAAAGGCCATTAGGTCAATAAACCTTGTTTAGATTCTCAGACAATTATTCGACTTTGCCAGCTAAATCTCAAACGGCGTTGAGTTTTAGGTGAGCTCCATGGCGCGTGCGTGTGCGCGCTGGTTACCGTGGCAGCTGCCTCCATCTCCTTCTGCTTGCGCTCGAAAATATCGTCATCATCCTTGTCCTTCTCAAACTCCTTCTGGCAGCGGTTGAGCAGCACTTTCCGGAAGTTCACCGACACGCCGGGCTTCTCAGCCACCGGCACCTTGAGCTGTTTTTGGAGACACAACGGCAATAGTGAGGGTGGGAAAGAAGTTGTTTAATAATAATTTCAGATGGTAAACGCGCACAGTATTTGCTCGCTCTCTTAAACAGACGACTGCGGCATGGTAGCTGGCATCCTTCACAGCAGCACGATTCTTGGCAGTGCCGTGATTGGCGGTGTAATCTCATTGAGAGAGCACGCGAGTTCTCAATCGCTCTCCGTGCTGCGATCGACAGCGTAGCCATCGCAAATGCGATCGCCACGCGTGCCGTGACCCGAAATTCGTTCTGCAGTCGGCAACAGAGCAATCTTGAGCCTAGAGGTCGTCTAAGAGCAGCCGGTCACGTGAGCGCTGCCAAGACCCGCATCGGCGCACACATGGAGCCTCAGCCGCAAGCAGCATGGTGCTCAGTCACTGGCAAGCTGAGCGGGCCCCGTAGGCCGCAAGATGACGGTTCCCTGCCGCTGGCCATCACACGACAATGGGATCAGCGTCATGCCAAGGGGCACACTATTATAGGGACCCATCTTCCGTCGCGGCACACTGTACACAGAAGCCAGGGGGGCGCCCTCGATGCCGAGACGCTGGCTAAGGTTATTTTCGAGGTGCCATGGGCTGCCTCGCAACCGTGCCCATTTAATAGCCGACGCCACCTCTCCCGTTTAAAGGCGGATGGGAAGAGGTTTTTAAGAATTCAAACAGGTTCCCATATTGTATTCGCCTGCAAGGCACGTGAATCGCCAAGCGAGTCGGTGCTGGACACCTCAACCCCGTGTATACAGCGCCGAAGCAAACGCTTGGGCGCCACGTGGGAAATTATTTATTTATAGCGGGTGGGAAAGGGACATTCCTTTTATGATAAACTAGCGGGAAGTACCCGGCGTTGCCCGGGCGAAAAATATATTTCAAAACGTCTCTCCCCCCCCTACTGCCGAGGCCTATATAACCTCGTGCCACGGCAGATCTCTCGCCTACTTCAGCAGTTGTTTCTTGCTGTGGTTGTCACACCTGATGACGATTGCTTGTGTTGTGATCGAAATGTCGTGATCTATTATTTTTCTTACCTACGTGACTTTACCGAAAGAACCAAAGAGTATGGATTCTTGCAGTCACGAAAGCTTCAAATCAAGTTTCTCTTAAAAACATTACATATACATACACAGATACTAAGCTATTGTGAAAGCCCGGTGAGTCGTTTGTCCATTTCTGCAGAAGTCCAAAAAGTTTGAGAAAGTGGGGGGTAAATAGTTGATATAAAAGGTTTTCCAAAAATTGTCGACCCCCCCCCCCCAAAAAAAATATTTACACACCCTACATACAATAGAGTAAGGAGTATAGTTGTATCTACTGACTGTAGTAACTACTGACCATAGTAGTATCTACTGGCCCTACAGTAGTATCTACCGACTCTATAGTAGTAAATAATAACTCGATAGCAGTATCCATTGACTCTATAGTAGCATCTACTGACCCTAGAGCAGTAGCTACTGACCGTAGTCATATCTACTGACCGTAGTGGTCTATACTGACTGTTTAAGTATCTACCAACTCGATAGCAGTATCTACAATCACTACATCAGTGCATACCGACTGTGATAGTACCTGCTTTCACTACAGCAGTGCATACCAACTGTGGTGGTACCTGCTATCACTAAAGCAGTGCATACCGACTGTGGTGGTACCTGCTATCACTACAGCAGTGCATACCGACTGTGGTGGTACCTGCTGTGACTACAGTAGTGCATACCGACTGTGGTGGTACCTGCTATCACTACAGCAGTGCATACCAACTGTGGTGGTACCTGCTATCACTACAGCAGTGCATACCAACTGTGGTGGTACCTGCTATCACTACAGCAGTGCATACCGACTGTGGTGGTACCTGCTGTGACTACAATAGTGCATACCGAATGTGGTGGTACCTGCTATCACTAAAGCAGTGCATACCGACTGTGATGGTACCTGCTATGATTACAGCAGTGCATACCGACTATGGTGGTACCTACTATGACTACAGCAATGCATACTGACTGTAGTGGTACCTGCTATGACTACAGCAGTGCATACCGACTGTGGTGGTACCCGCTATTAATACAGCAGTGCATACCGACTGTGGTGGTACCTGCTATCACTAAAGCAGTGCATACCGACTGTGGTGGTGTTCGTTGCTAGGGGCAACCCCCGGGTCAGCTTTGGCACGCGCTGAGTGGTGCAAGAAAATAAAGAATAAATAGCGCTAAATTGCTAATTTAACTACTTTAAAGTTGCTGGATGGGATAATGAAATAGCGCTGGCTCACCACGGGGCTTATGGCGTGGTACCTGGCTACTTTTTATAACGTAAACCCCACGGTTTGCAAGCCAAATCCTTCGCAAGTTCCATACACAGACAGACGGACAGACAGACAAAACATGACATGTATAGGTAAGATGAAAGAGAAAAGTAGAGACAACTGAGTATCCAAGAGTATCTTACAGTTTCCTGCTCGTGCTTCAGGCTATGATGCATTACAACTGTTGAGCTGGGTGGCTAAAGCCCTCCCTGAAGTTCTCACCGAGGTACAGAACAGTGGGGCTTATGGGTTAGTGGGTGGGGGAAGTTACGTGGCAGGGGTGTACATTCAGTGTTCAACTCAATGCTCTCTCTGCATCACGTACCAAGGCCTTCACGGGAACGCGACTCGTTAATAACGACTATGAATGGCCCTTGGACAGTCACTGCATCCCACTGCTTTCAGATGCGCTTCTGCGGCCGTCTGGAACGCTCTTCCTTCCAATATTAGGAAGCCACTGGGAGCTAGGCATTTCTTTAGAACTGCATTTGGTGCTTAATTTGTTGTCCGTCCGCCACACCTATGATTAGCACTGTTGTCTACGTATGGTGCGAAAGAAGTTGAACATACACAGAGGACGAAAAACAGCATTGGCGGGTGGTGGCAGCAGGCAGCCGCGGATGATAAAAGATTACCATGGCCAAGCAGCGGCACATGTTGGCGTAGGCGACGGAGAAGCTGGGCTCGTCGATGGCCTTCTCGAACACGAGGTCGATGACGCCCTTGAGCCGCTCCTCCGTGTCGATCTTGAGGTCGGTCACCTGCTTCATGAGCGCCTGGAACATCTGCGGTGTAAGCTTGTTCAGGATACTGCGCACCTTCTTGAAGAGATCCTAAGCGGAGATACACGCATGGCACAGGATGCACACACACGAAAGCGTGAGTCGCTGCGTTTGCGCCTGCGCGTGTCTCCACGAATGTGCTCCGATGTGAGCGTACATTTCTGTTTCCTGTGTGCATGAGTCTGTGTTTGCGTGTCTTCACGTCTGCGTCCCTATATCAGTAAGCATCCCTATTTCACTCTGTGCATGCGTCTCCGTGTCAGTGTGTAGCCATGTGAATGTGTTCCTATGTCCGCGTGCATCCCTGCTTCACCGTCTGCATGCGTCTCCGTGTCGGCGTGCGTCCCCACGTCTGTGTGTCCCCATGTGAGAGAGTTATCCCTCCAGTATCAGTGTGCATGTGTCCCCCGTGCGAGCGCGTCGCCGTGCCTGCGTACGACCACCCTCCGGGTCGCTCGGCGGCGGCTCGCGCTTCAGCATGGGCTTCCAGGCATGTTCGGCGCGGTTCAACTTCACGTCGTCCGACATGGACGAGATGGTGATGATCTTGCGCGGCTCCTTGCGCTGCTGCGTCTGCGAGCGCCGGGGGCCTCCACCGCCGCCACCGCCGCCACCGCCGCCGCCGCCCCCCCCTCCACCGCCCCCCCCTCCTCCTCCACCCATGCTCTGGATACGGAAGTCGGGGCACAGAGAGCAGAGCCGGGAGAGCAGCGAATAAATCACTCGTTCTCGCACGGGGACGAGTCGCACACAGCCCTTTGTAGTGCCTCCCCGAGCTCAAATACTCAAGCAATGTTCACCTAGAAACTAGTCGCACACAAGGTCTTCCGCTCAAATGTAAGAAAAAATGTAAACTTAGAACATGCCGCGGAGTATTCGCTCGCTCTCGGAGGGGTACAGAGAGAGAGCACGACTCGGAGGCGAGAGGAACCACGGACAAGCAGGAAGGGCAGCCACGCGATGAGCTGGCACCAACAGTTGCCCAAGCTCTGCGGTCATCTATATATTAAGGCGTTATCGGTCAATTAATGACGTTTACATGTAGAAGCATACTGGTGCGAGCGGGGGCAACACTATGGAATATGGACGGAACAGGTCGAGGAAACACCTTTACTGTACCGCCCTCTCCTGGAGAGCCAGGGTATGGCACCTTCTCGATGCCCACGAGAAGGGAGTTTCACTATGTGTGAGATCCACAAACCTCGCCGCCTCCACAGTGCTGTATAACAGGCATTAAAAGCAACCGCTGTGCGGCCAATTAATAATGATCTGTCCGTCCTAGTATATTATAAGCGGGTTTTAGTACTTAAGTACAACGAAAACAACAAACCCAACCAACAGAATTTACGTAAAACTATGCCCACCCCCTCCTTGTACTTTGTTTCTGCCCAATCGGTCATAGGAGAAAACATTGTATCTGTGATGAGCGGGGTGCCAAGATTAAAATTAGCAATTCGGTGTAGCCAGGTCAAATATATTCCCCTCTAGTACCCAATTAGTATGGCTAAGATCCTTGCAGTGATATATACATTTTGCTTTCATGCCCTTTCATGTGGCTACAGGCCGTATTGTGATGGATAAAGGTCCATATCTGGCCGTGCAGGCTGTAGACTCCCCACCCTGGGGTGTGATCAGCAGCACCATGTAGGTACTCACGGGGCCGCGTCCAGGGCCAGGCCCAGGACCTCCGGCATGGCCGCCCATAATCTGCTGGCGGTCCAGGTTGGCGTAGGAGGGCGTGAAGTCCGGCCCCGCCTTAATGAGTCGCGCGTGGTCGAGGCGTGGGGGGGGTGCCTTGTTCATCTGCACGCAGGCACACACACAGGCACGGAAGAACGTGGTTACGGGGGGGGGGGGGGGGAAACACTTGCACCGTCGCGCACATTTTAAGTGCAACAGCAAACGTTTCGGTCTGCTGTTGCCACACTCGATCCGTGTCACCATTAAACACAAGAGGTTTTGCTGAAACAATGGGGTGGGGGAGCCAGCTGGTCAGCCACCACGTGACCAACCAGTCATAGGTGGAACCTGGTATCAGAGCATATAATGAATGTGATTTAATAGGTTTAGAATTTAAAGGACACCCCCCCCCAAAAAAAAGTGTTTAATAGTTTTCACGGTAAATCATTCTGTCATTGGGGTGAGTGGGCAGCATACGCAGACACAATTGGGTGGCGGAACTTGTGGTGCCAATAGTGCCACACTTTTCTCCTCTGTGCCCAATGTTCGCCCACTGTAGCAGACATTCACTGAAGGCCGAAACTACCGAGGGGGAGAAGGCCAGGTCAGGTAGAACAGCTTGCCACTCAAGTCCTGAGATTTAATGTCAAGGCGACAGGACCAGATTGCACTACTCACTGCACCCGCCACTTCTGACACAAAGAAACTCCCCCCCCCCCCCCCCCATGTAGCCTTAACTGTTGGGTCAAGTACTGTTAAGCAAGAGTAGCACATATGAAGGCCGGCACAGCACACGAGGGTGGGGGTGGTCAGAACCATGCCAGGCCGCATTTGTCTGCCGAGTTACTGGACATCTGAGAAAAAGAGCTCATCCTATTCCTCCAGCATAAATATTCTGATTCGTGATGTTTACATATGACACCATGTACTCATTTGAAGCAGTCAACCTAGGGGAGGTCCAGGACCAATTCAAAAACTCATCACTGGTGTTGGCCGGGAGCGGGATTCAAACTCTCGTAGCTGGGTCCGTAGCGCGCTAACCGCTACACGACCACTCCCCCCTTCTGACAAACACGCATACACATGCAGACAGGCACACACCAAACACTTACCGAGTCTAATACAACATCGCTGATGGCTGGGAGACCCTCTGGCTTTTTTGTGCTCGCCTGGCGGAACTGGAACTGCAGCAAGAAGTCACGGTCATACCTCTTCTTGTCTTCCTCGTTAAGGGGTTTCCAGTCTTCTGAAAGCAACATCATGTATTTATGAAGCCAAGGAGTATCCATACGTCTCCGTGCAGCCCTCTCGCCACACTCGCTAAGGGCCAAGTGATCTCACTCAGCAAGAGGTCGACAGTCCAAGTTCAACACTGCGTCAAAACCGCAGCTCGTTCACACTGCTCGCAGACAATAAATATGCACCAGTTTTTTGTAACACAGCAGCGTTAATGACGAGAGTGGTGAACATCGAGTTGGCGATGCCGTTTCTTCGTCGTAGCCAATGCCACCTATTGTGTGGGCGTGTCGACGTGCGCATCCCAAGCGTCGAGAACTATCCACCACTCAACCCCAAAACCAACTCATTCGCTCAAACTAAAACGCCCTTCACAAGCCCTCACCATTCTTGTACTGATACTTGGAGTTGGAGCCAGTGCCGGACTTATCCTCCTTCTCCTCCCACGTCTCGTCCTTCTCCTCTGCGGGCGGCTGTGTCGGCTTGCCGGCTGAGGTCGCCTCTGGCTCAGCGCCCTTCTTAGGGGGCACAGCGGCCGCCTCCACGACTGGTGGCTCCTCCTTGGCGGTTGGCTGCAAATCGTTGGCGGGGGGGGGGGCAAGCCTGGTTATGCTGGTAATCATACAGGGTGATAAAATTACACTCCATATTGTTTTTATAACGAGAAAACATTGTTGTCTCCAATCTATCTCAATAAACACATTGAACCATTTAACATCTCCCTTGTGTAGCACATGGAGCGATCGCTTTGACAAGGTTCAATTTGTTTGCCGCGTCGAGAAGGGCAACATTAAGAGAGCACCGGGCGGCTTGTCTACTATGGATTGCGCTTCGTGTTACAGCCCTCGCCTCCCGCCAGCAGCCCAGCCGCCACACGAGCCCAACTTCCCCATTATACCTCCTTGAACGCGCTCATGAGGTCTCCGTCCAGCTCCTTCTTGTGCCAGTCCTTCTTCACCTTCTTCTGGGCACCGGCTGTGGGGTGCGGAGGGCACAGAGCACGTGACAAAGTTGGGCAGATTTTCAGAGGTGAGCATGTGTTGAGGGAAGTTATTGGAACGGACAAGAATGTTAAGAAAAAGGCCAAGAGACATTAAAAGACAAACTACCGTTTGCTTGATAGCTTGAAAGCGAGATTTCAGATGTGGCAGGGGCCTACCAGGAAATGAAGAAGAAAGCTCAAGATGGGTAAGGATTGAGTTGAGTTTGACCAAAAGGATCTAACAGTGGGCAGAGGGCCCGACTCAAAGAGGATGAACAGGGGGGCTGCTATGACTGCACATTGAGCCGTCGATTCCACACTGAACGGAAGACAAACCCAGCATTCACGGATACAACATTCAGTAAGCTGCATCCTCAGATACCCCATTCATCTGCATTTCTCTACCGTCAGCCATTGAGTTTACCTTGCGTGAAGTGGAAACATTAGTGGTCGCATGAAACCACGTGAAAGGTGAACCTACACTGGACTGGTGATATCTCAACAGTCCCAACACTGAAAGTGAAGAACAGCACACCTTGTCTGCATGCCGTTATATGGATGCACACAGCAGCATGATATTAAAATTTAAAATTAGCAAAAATGTCTTTTAATTTTCCCGCCAAGATGCACACTATTATGCAGCTGTTCTGGTCAATCGTGACACATCTTTGTAAATTTAACAAAAGGTTATAAAACAACCGCGAGACTCCCCAATGCTAAAATGCACATGCACCAGGTTACACAATTTAAGGCTTAAACTATGTGAGAGTCAAATTTCATTGCCAATGGCATTGTTCAAGGCAAGTAGTCAATCTCAGGTTCACGGGATCAAAATGCAGCCCCCCACTACGCCACTGCCCTCACACGCACACTGGAAAGCAGCGGCGCATGGGCTGCGCAAGTACACACAAACAACGACCGCGTACCCTCCAAGACCGAGCCCACACCCTGGATACCATCAGTGGCAGTTGTCGCTGGACCAGGTGGGGAGGCCGGCTGCGCCGTGGGGATGTCCTCCACTTCCTCTTCCTCCACCTCCGGCTGCTCGGGGGCCTTCGGCTCCGCAGCCTTCGGCTCCGCAGCCTTCGGCTCCGCAGCCTTCGGCTCCACGACAGGCGCCTCCACCTCCGCTGCCTCGGTCACCGTGGGAGCGGTGGCCTCCTTGGGGGCCGGAACCTCGGGCTTCTTCAAGTCCATGACCACCACGGGCGGCGGCAGCGGCTGCTGTTGCGGCTCCTGCTGCTGATGTTGCTCCTGCTCCACAACCTCGGGCGGGGGCGGCGCCACAACCGCCGCCGCGGGAGAGGGGGCGGCAGCAACGGTGGCTGGGGAAACGGCCTTAACAGCGGGGCCGGCAACAGCGACGGGAAGCTGGGCCAGTGGCGTCGGTTGAGCCTGCGAGGCAGGTTGAGGCTGTTCTACAGGCAGTGGCTGCGGCGCAGCAACAGCCGCGGCTTTCGTGGGTGCGACCGGTTGTGCCTGCGCAATGGCCTTTGCCTGAGCAGCAGGCTTGTCTATCGCTTCAGGCGCCACCTCTGTGGGCGCGGAGATGTCCGTGTCCTTCTCGTTCAGGGGGGCAGCAGTAATGGCAGGGGCGACGGCTGGCGCGGCCGACTCGGGGGCGGTGGCGATGACGACGGGCGCCGCAACAGCGGGGGGGGCGGGGGGTGCCGCGGGCTCCTTCTCCTGGAAGGCCGGAGGCGGCACCTCCACCACGATTTCCTCCACGGCCAGCAGGGCCGGGACCGTGGGCTCCACCGTTGCCACCTCCACTGCCGCCACCACCGCCAATGCAGCGGGCGCGGGCGGCGCTGCCAACGTGGCGGGCACGGGCGGCGCCACTTCCACGTGGGCGGCGGGGACAAGAGGCACCGTGCCATTGGCCGTCTGCTCCAGGGGCGGAGATGGCTCGGCCTCCGGCTCTGGGTCCGACTCCGGTGTGACCGCCACAGCCTCTAGCTGAGCAGTCACCAGTGCGGGCGGCGGATTCTGCAACTGCTGCTGTTGCAGTTGCAACTGCTGCTGATGCTGCTGCTGTTGCAGTTGCTGCTGTTGCAGTTGCTGCTGTTGCAGTTGCTGCTGTTGCAGTTGCTGCTGTTGCAGTTGCTGCTGTTGCAGTTGCTGCTGTTGCAGTGCAAGTTGCTGCTGCAGCTGCTGTTGTGGTGGCTGCTGTTGTGGTGGCTGCTGTTGTGGTGGCTGCTGTTGCGGCATCTGTTGAAGCTGCTGCTGCTGCAGCTGCTGTTGCTGCTGCTGCTGCTGCAGCTGCTGTTGCTGCTGCTGCTGTTGCTGCAGCTGCTGTTGCTGCAGCTGCTGTTGCTGCGGTGGCTGCTGCTGCGGCGGCTGCTGCTGCGGCGGCTGCTGCTGCAGATGCAGCTGCGGCTGCAGATGCAGCTGCGGCTGCTGCTGCTGCGGTTGCTGAGGCTGCAGTTGCTGAGGCTGCGGCTGCTGAGGCTGCTGAGGTTTGGTGTCTTGCTGGACATCGGGTGCGTGTTGGTCAGAGCCAGTGGGAGCCGGCGGAGGAGTCGGGTCCGGAGGAGGGGGTTTGATCGTTGTCACAGCCGCAGACAACCGCGGCTTTCCCTCTGTTGCACAAACAAGCGATGACATACATATATACACACAGGCATTGTTACAAAGCAGAGACAACACGTTTGTTTAAGAAAAAAAGATACCTGTATCCTTCCTAACTTTATTCCAACCGTACGACCAGCATTATGGCACAAGGCAAATTTAATCCTTTGGGTCTCTTGCCAAACACCGGGTCCCACTACGTTAGAGAGAACAGCTTCACAGGAGGTGCAACACTGAAACTCCTTCAAGTGTCCTCTTTCGTCCATGTTTACGGGTGGCGTACTTTCCAACACACACTGCAGTAAACACGTTCATTACATGGCAGTCCATGTGAAACTTAGTTGTCAGGGCTGATATTTTAGCAAAAGTACTTGGGGAAAAATTAAAGTTTTTTATTGTTTGTGTGCTGGCAGTCGTAACCGGCAGCGAGATTTAACCCGATGGAAAATAATACAAAACAAAATACAAAGATCTCCCGTATACCATTTAGCAGACTTAAGGCAATTGCTGTGAGCGAGCACCTATGAAGGCCACCACAGTACACAAGAGGGGGTGGTGGGTGACCAGCACCACGTCCGACCCCCTTTGTCTCCCCAATGGCGATGTTTACACATGGCACAGGGTACTCAATCGAAGTTGAGTTGACCTCGGGAGGTACAGGACCAGTTGGGATAATCGTCACTGGTGTTGGCCGTGAGCGGGACTCGAACTTCGCCATGCCCAAAGTGCACCAGCTCCCCACTGGAATAGTATTACACCCTCTCCTAGACATCCGCACAAGTGGAATAGTATTACACCCTCTCCTGGACATCCACACAAGTGGAATAGTATTACACCCTCTCCTTGACATCCGCACAAGTGGAATAGTATTACACCCTGTAGTGTTCTGGTCTAACACTGGTGAGACAAGGCCGTAAAGAAGGCCGTCTCTGGTGTAGGCCAATCAGTCTTAAATGCATATAATATCAGAGCATGTTTGCTTGCATATTTTTCCAAAAGTATGTGGTTAATACAGACTGAATGCCTTGCTAATGGTATCTAGTTAGTGTTTGAACATCTTAACATCTGTTTCATTGCCAGAAAGGGTAAAACTTATTGTTATTTTTCGACATTATTGATACTGGCAAAAGGGTCCCATAGACACCCTCTCCTTTACAGCCACACAACTGCAGATTTGATTTTTTTCAAGTAACCAGAACACAGCCTATCAGGAAGAATAGGAACCAGACAAGGCAGGTGAATCCAGGTGAAGCTGGAAGACTTTCATGTTTGTACGAGGCGAACACACAATGCAAGCGTTACTGCCGTCACGGTTAACAAGCCGTGCACACCTTTACACCCGATAATCAGGCAACAAGTAGACATTGTATTGGCACGCAATTAACCCAGATTATCACGCATTTTGGATGATCGTTTTCCATATTTTCAAACAGTCCAAATTCCTGTGCTAAAAAATCTCGGCGTTCACCACGTCACCGGGAAACGGTGCTCGCGAGTTCGTCATCGCAGACTCCTCACGGACAGGAAAACGCTGCCGTGAGCAGAAAAGCAGCATTCTCTTGAACATGTGTGCAGACGTCTCCATGATCATGGACTCAGCGGTGAGACATCAAATCGGCTTCACGTCAGGTGATTTTGCGTTTTGTACAGCTCTGGTTATGGCCACCAGCACATGGGCCCAGGCTGGAGCCCACTCTAAACCCCGCAGGCTCAGCAATAAGACGTGGGGGGGGGGGCAGTGGCTTCCGATCAGACTTTCAAAAAGCCACGTGTGAGCTCAGGAGAAAGTGTGGGGTAAGGATGCAGCCGTAGGGAAGATTACACGAAGTTAGTCTTCAGTGCGTGTGCAGACAATGCAGCTAAAAATGCAGCAACACTGCTTCTGTCATTACGAAACTCAAGAGGGCAGAGCAAGGCAAGTAATGCGCCGCGTGCTTGTTTGTAATGGTCGGACGTGCCTTTAACAGCACTTACTTTACAATTTACTTCTGCAGCAAGTTTATAAGAGCGTGAAAGAAAAACTCCTTGCCCTCGCCTAGAAAACTTAAACACTAAATAAAAATGTAGGTGGCAGGGTCACATGTGCGATGGGGTAGGTGGGAGGGGGGCGTAGAATCCCACCTAACCAACATCGCCGGTACATTATTAAAATGCTGAGCTCTCTGGGTGCTGGTCGTATGCCGGGCAGTTGCCAACATGCGGCAACCGCCGTATGAGGAACGGTACACTTTAATCTTAAACGTAGGCTCTGACGGCCATTATTGATTCATAATTAGTATGTACCTACATAATTTAACCCAAAAAGCAACTGAACGTATACTTTATCCCATTAAGCCAAATTGATGTTTTCAGCAGAAAATATTCTGCTGGCATCGTGTCTCACGGAGCTGTGGGTTTTCGCAGGTTGTTTAGAAACTTTTCTGCAATGGACTCCGTGAGCTTTGTGATCAAGATTCTCTTTTGTGACGGGGCCTCTGACTTGATTCTACATGCACGATGGGCTCACAGCCATCGCAAGATCACCACAGCATTTCTGTTCGAAACATTAATCCTGCTTCAATTGCCCTGGTCAGAAAAACATTAAGGCCTAAGGCACAATTGAGAATATGAAGCCGTTTATTTATTTATTTTGCATTAACTTTATGCCAACTAAACTGCCAGACTGAAATCTATGAGCAGCAACCGTTGCTACATTTAGTGCCACGATATATAAAACCTTGTCATAATACAGATTATCCCCCCCCCTCCCATCACTCACAAATTCATCTTTGTTTCCCATGGCATTTAATTATCGTTTTCAAAGCAGTCCTTCTCATGTAACGAGAGTGGCCATAGCTGATTTTTAAATCACATTGTTAAAACATACTCTACAACAACTCGCATCACTATCGGAATGGATCGTTTACGAGTTGTCACTCAACCACGCCTGGTATACCACCCGGAGGCCGAGGGTTCGAACCCAACCCTGACGCCTGTTTATTTGGAGTTTGCATGCTCTCCCCGTGGTTGCGTGGATTTTTTCTCCGGGTTCTCCGGATTTTCACTCCACATTTTGAAACATGCATTGAGATTATTTAGATTATTTAGGTGCTATAAATGTCCAAATGATGGGCCACTTTGTTGAGGCATCATTTGTGGCTAGGTGGCTTCTGAAAAATAAATGAATATCTCAGTGGGCTGTGCCTGGTAGGATGGGGATGGTTTAGTTGTATTTGTGTGTATTTGGGTGATTTGTTTACCTTTATTGTACTTCGCACTACTGTCGTGTTTTTGTACTGTTGTAACGTTCTTATCCGCCTCTACTGGACATCTGTGAAAAAGCGCTTATAGCTCATCGGATTCCTAGAGTATTTATAAATATTCTGATGCTGATGCAAACAAAATCCAAATTAAGCTCTTGCACTGGCAGAGAGATGCTGCGTTGATGGCGACATGAGCTACATGTGCTCTAGGGAACATTTCTCTCCTCGGACTACCGTCGTCTGCAAGGTGACGTGGCCAAGGCGCCATCGCTTTCTCAAGCCGTAATGCCAATGGCGTCCGACGGACGGTGACACCGAAGGCCACAAGAACAGGGATCAGCGATCACGTGTCTAACAACTCGGCGTGCCCTTGATGAGAACGCATGGAATGAGCAAACCTCTGTGGCGGCCAAAGCCACAGACCCCTGGGTGTGGACAGCATAAGAATGCAATTGACTTCAATTTATGCATCCATTGCTACCCAATTACGAAGGGTGAGCAACTACAATTAATGACCATTGTGCCAAGCATTTAACGGCAGTCATTCATTTTCACACAATTCTAACTCGGATTCTAAATGTTGTGGCGTGGCTCTCCAACACACCGGCGTGCTGTACTCATGACGAATTGTCACGTTCTGTTTACGTGACAACCCTGACTAGTTGGTTGTCGGGTGGTGGGTTTAACGACACATTTATATATTTACGCGATCTAACACAAAAAAACATCTACAGTAAAACCTTGGATTGCGAGTAACTTGGTCTGCGAGTGTTTTTCAAGAGCAAAAATTTGTAATTAATTTTAACTTGATAAACGAGCGATGTCTTACAATACGAGCAGTACGTACAGTATACACTTTGTCTGCCGAGCGTCACGTGATCACAACTGAGCCAATGGTTATTCTCTCTCGCTGCGGGATTGTGGGTAATCGTCTCCCATGCCCGGTCTCAGCCAGCGTTCCTCACTCGTATAGTCAATATCCGTGCGAGCGTACACGGTTTACTATAGCGTTGTGACTACGAGTGTGTGCGTAAAGCATTTTTTTTATTTTGTGTCCAAGTGTAGTGACTGTTCTTTAGTAACTATACTGCAAATGAAAGTCGTCCTACACAATAACCCTCCTCTCTCTCGTCTCCCTCACACCAGCCACGATTCAATTTAATTAACAAATGTGATTACTTTATATTAAATATATATAATAAAAATATATGGTATTTTGTATTAATAAGTTTTATATGAATACAGTATTTTTGGGTTGTGGAACGAATCATCCGAGTTTCCATTATTTCTTATGGGGAAATTCGCTTTGATATACGAGTGCTTTGGATTACGAACACATTTCTGGAACAAATTATGCTCGCAATCCAAGGTTTTACTGTATTACGAATTCTAACTTGTGATACATGGGAGGCTCAGCAAAGTTCGCTGTCGGCAAGCAACGGCTCGCATCCACCGAGATAACCCGATGATGTAGGCGTCACCACCGGTGAGCAACGCTACGTGGCGCTACGCGACTCGACGGGAGGCCCCCATGTTTATTACCAGCGTGGGTTCACATTGGTGAGCGATGCGCAAATCTCCAGCCACCTTTGCCAGTCATTCATGTCCTGCGCTATTGTTTGCCTTTCGCAATGCCAATACAATCTCATTCATACACAAAACGGATATGCAAATGTAAAAATCTATGATCACGCGATAGATTGTGTAGACCACCAGCAACGGTAACATATATCCAACAGAACACACCAAACCATATCCATGTTATAAATTGTCCTCATCTGGTTCTAAAGTATGTGCTCGAAATAAACTAAACTTTAAACTATTTTTTATTTTACCAGGTAAAGCCTACCGAGCTGCATAGCACTTTTTCAGAAGCGACCTGGCCACAAATGATAGCCCAATTAAGTGGCTTAACGTGTGGAAATGTATAGCAGCCAAGTAATCTAAATTATTCCAGATCAAATGAATGGCATTTTTTTCAAAAGCACCCAAAGTAAAAGCACGTTAAGCTCAACACGTCACTGTAAGCGGTCTCCACACTTCATTCACTATGACCACCAGGGAACGGTCTGCACCATTAATGGTTAGTGGTGGAGACCATTTACTGATATTTAATTAATACCAATTACAGCCTCTTGACCACTTAAAGACTGCCTTTATCAAGAGAAAAACCAGGCTGAATGCTGGAGGGGATTAGTATTTTTCACGTTTGCCCAAATATAAGTTGGCATATCCAAGCAAAGGAAAATATGTGCCTGTAAATAGCATGTCAAAAAGCAATACGAAGATTGCTTTGGCGAGTAAGAATGCACGGACCTCAAACTGGAAATATGGCACTAAATGATGTGGCACGTGGTGCTAAACATTGAGGTGTTGGGTGAGTCCGTCCTGTCTTGTTTCATTGCTATATTCGGACTCCCTTCTGCAATCGTATCTTACGGACGCCGACACCACTAATTAAACCCCTCCCCCTCATTGTACGCAGAACGGGTTAACTCGCTGGGGTAAACCGTGGCTGACGTTCGGTGTGACGAGATGAGCGTTTGTGTCGCAACGCAGACGTACCTGGGCGGGCCGGTGGCCCCATGGGGTGCGGCAGGGTGCTCTCCCCGTTGCTCTGCGGCGGCGCCAGCAGCAGGGGCTGTGGCTTGAGGTAAAAGAGGTGAGGAGCGGGGTGAGCGTAAACAAACTGCCTCCAACCAAACCGCCGGCAAGCAACAAAAAGCACCGCCAAACACGGGCACGTAAAAAGCCACGACGGCAACGGAACCAAAGCAAGTCGGGGGGGGGGGGGGGAGAGAGAGGAGAGAGAGGGGAGAGAGTAGAGAAAGAGGAGAGAGATAGGAAAGGGGAGGAGAGAGGAAACGGCAACAAAAACGTAACAGGGAAATCATAGAAAGGAAAAAAACAGCCAATGATGCGTTGTCAGATTCGTTAAGAGTTTTGTTACAAATTATAGGTCGTCAATGGGGAGAAAAAAAACGAATAATGGAAACAATAAAGAGAAAGAAGAGGCGGTAGAATTCAACATAACAAAATGTCATGAATCGAAATTAATCGTAAGGGAGATGTGTTGTGCAGATGAGATGCAAGAGAGAACAAGACGGGACAACATTAACTACGAAGATTTTGAAGCAAAGAACATGACGTGAGCTGCTAGTATAGAGCTACCAGATCGCTACAAAGAGCAGCACACACGGAGCAGCGCTACTCGGTACACAGCCAGGCGCATTCACGGCGCACAGAGCCAAATTCAATAAGCGCATACATCAACAACGACGAGGCTGTTTTTTTGATAAGCATGACGGAACGTCCACATAAAGACACATCATCCTCCTCCTCTTCCTCACCCTCCTCCTGCCTGTGGGATTCTGACAGCAGAGCCCTGCGCCCATCTCATGGCCAGCGACTGTGGCTGCTGGGGCACGCGTAGGAAGTAAAGATGAACTAAGTATGTATGTATATTGGAAGGAGGTATGTTGAACTTCTTTTACGTAGACAACCGTGCTAATCAGACGTGCGGGGGAAGGACAGCAAACTAAACATAAAAAGCCATTCGAAAGAAATTCATTTTCATTGTGGACAATTTAAAAGTGCATAGGTCCACTGGCTTTCTAAGGAAGAACATTCCAGGTGGCCGCAGAAGCGCATCCAGAAGCGCGCGATGCGGTGACCGTCTTTGTTCGATGGTTAGTCAAAAGCTGCCGCTGCTGCGAGGATGATCGGAGTTAGCGTGATGGTTCAAGTGACCGGTGGACGGCAGCGTGGACGCGGAAAACCGTTACTCGCCCACCCCAGCAGCAGCCAACACGCCGTGACTGCCATGCTGCCACGTGCCAAATTCAGCAATCGCCGTTTTAAGAAAGCATCGGTTAAAAAAAGGAGGCAACAGGTGATAAAATAATTGCGCCAACAACATTTAGTGATTTCGCCAAATGCATGACCGTAATCTATTCGCCTTTATTCGTCAGGTGTTAAAACGTGCAACACGTCACGAACGCATCTTTCACTAATGCCTAAAATAATGTGACTCTCAACACCCAACCTCAAAAGGAGGGGGGCGAGGCGAAGCTAGCCGGGGACGCGGCACGTTGGCCACTCAACCGTCGCACACGTTGAAAAACATAAGAACTCATTGGTGAACCTGCAACAGCATGGTGCAGTAAATGGTAACCAAGCCTTTCCCTTTTCTCTAACGCGACGAATTACATTTCAAGGCACTAAGTGTAGCTGGAGATATGAATCAAGGCTGAATAATGCAGGGTAGCGGTACTGTGTCAGGACAGTGAGAGATATGGGAGCGTGGACATTTGTGTTGTGCTGCAATGTGTGGGGTACACGGTGAAATGTTGTGTGCAGCATTGTTTTGTATGCCGGTTTGTTTTGATCCGTGTGCATGAGGCAGTACCTGTGACGGTGTAGGTGGTGTGTGTGTGTGCATGCTGTGATCTGTGTGTGGGTACCTGTGACGGTGTAGGTGGTGTGTGTGCATGCTGTGACCTGTGTGGGGGTACCTGTGGCGGTGTAGGTGTCGAGCTGGACCGAGACGGAGGGGTAGAGTTACGCGTGGTTCCGCCCCCGGACATGATTTCTTCTGTTATATCTTTGCCCCCTTGTGTTGGATCTCTGATTCGAATCTATAGAAAAATGCAACAACTACATCAGCTACTGGCTCACAGCTGCGTTCACACAACTGCAGAGATGAAGCTTCATCAACGGGCGCTCACACACCAAATGCCCCGGCACAGATTAAAAAAAAAGGGCTGCCCCCCCACCACCCACTCTGCGGGTGCATCCCCACCGAATTAATGCAAATTGTGTGGCACCGCGAGCATTACATCCTGCACGGCTGGTACAGTCACTGGATGGGGCTGGTTTACAGCCAGTCCTTCTAACAAAGCCACACCACACAAGAACCAACAACCACCCCCCACATCAATCAGAGCAACTCCGCGACCTCCCTCTGCGTTCCCTGCAACCCACCCAGAAAATAGCGCCCCAAGGAATGCAACTCTCACCCTCCCCCTCCCCCCAACTGTCGCAACTCAATGCTGCGTTTCAACCGCGACAGCACGCGGGCCCGCTCATCATCGCACTGTAAATCCTGCCTGCGGCATTCCTTTTTCGGCATGGCATTCCTAACCAAGCACCTCGTTTAATCCGAATTCCCAATAAGTTAATGGGCATGCGAACATTGCCGCGTTCCATGCGTAAATGTGCGCGTGCACATCATTACAACCGTACTCGTGCCATCTACACGCGCCCCCGTGCCAATGGGCGCCTGGCACTCCCATCCCATCGTAACACGACGTGACCATCTGTCGCACAGTAACGCAAGATTACTTTGGGCTATGTCGTAATTAAGATCACACGAATCAACACGTTAGAGAGAACAGCACCCCTTTCTTCATTTAACCCAAGACAATCGCATGCGTGGCGTAAAAACACCATACTTTCCCGAGGGCATATCAAGCATTCATACAAACACTCGCACAGTAAATGGCAATAGCAGAAAGACGCGGATTCTTTCCAACCTCACAAACCGCCGTACAATGCGTTAAGGCCGTTCTAATTACCATGACGCGAGGCCTACATTTACACGTTAAGAGTACGTCGGTTGTTTGGCGTGACAAACATTACAGGTAACAAGGCCATCACTCGGGGGCCAATTGCCAATTTAATCCCAGCACGACGCAGGCAGGGGACCACCACTTTGATGTCGTGAGCATGACGGCGCTTTTAGTTGCGAGCGTGCAGGCAAACACAGCCTCCCCCACAGCGGAGTTGCGGAACCCAGGACGATGATTAGTGGGAACATGCCTCCATCCAGACCAATCACCGTTAGCGAGCCTGAAGCTGGCCCGAAAAAATTACAGTTTAATACGAATTGTACTGTATGGCTGGCTGTTCCCAACAGTGGGAGCGTTCAAGGCAGCACGAGCAATTTCGGAAGTTGAAAGCCCTTGCTGGGTTGACGAAGCCGAGTGCCCCCACTGTTCACTCCCGTGGGCTCCAAGAGCCGAGTGGAGACGTAACGTTGTCCCGGCTCCAAGTTTGCCATTAATTTCGTTATGGTAAATATATTTTGGTCTTTTTTTTCTTTCAACCTACCAATTCCTCCACAATTGCACATGCTTGGAATGTGGACGAGCGGCAAGAATGGCCTCCAGTTGAGTGACCCCCCACCCCCCCCCTTAAGTGAGAGCACCGCAAATGTCTCGCAATCCCTGCGGACAGCGAGGCTGCAAAACTACTTCGGATTGTCTACATCCATTGGGAAATCGCCCAGCCACACGATGTCAATTGTAAAAATTAGATGGTCAAAAATATATTGAATACGCAAAGATTTGCAATGCATGTGCAAAAGCTCTCAAAACTTACCCAGACCACCACAGCTCAAAAAACTTGAAGTGGTGGGGCACATTGTCTGAGGCTGCCCCAACTCAAAGAGTTGCAAACATGTGGCTGTCCCAACAAGCAGCAATTAAACCAATGGAGACCAGTTTCACCCTCATTAGGCCGCACCAGTGCAGTAGTCATCCATGTAAAACTATAAACTATTTTTATTTTATCAGTTAAGGCCCCACTGAGCTATGCAGCAATGTGTCAGAAGCGACCTGGCTACAATTGATATTTCAACGAAGTGACTTATCACGTGGAAATGTATAGCAGCCAAATACTCTTAGGGCATGTTTCTAAATGTGAAGGGGAAAAACCGGAGGACACGGAGAAAAATCCACACGACCAGAGGGAGAACATGCAAACTCCAAATATTCAAGCGTCAGGGTCAGGATGACACTCATGACCTCCTGTATACCAGGTGTTATATGCCTCTGGGAGTCCCGTACAAGACTTACCTTTCCACTCCGGGACCCATTAGCTTGCCTAAAAGGCAACAATTGTGTAAGTTCCATGTTCCAATGGAGGCGGAGAGTCTCTTTCATAATTCGAAAAACGACTGTTAAAGAATATTTTATAGACCCCAAAGGGATGATGGGCTGGTGTCAACCCACCCCAAAACCTTGCGATTGCAGGGCATCTCGCTTCAGCGCTGGCGCACTTGGCCAGAATGTGAAGTAGTGAAAGGGCCCAACGTGTACATGGCACCCGACTCCCAAACAGAGACCTACGCGACGTGCCCCGGCGACCCGAATGCGTGACGTCTGTACCTGCTTTCTCTCCCGCTTCATCTGCGATGCCATGGCATTTTGCTGCTGCTGTTGTTGCTGCTGCTGTTGCTGCTGCTGTTGCTGCTGCTGTTGCTGCTGCGCGTGGGAGATGGGCACAAAGGGCGGCTGCTGCAGACTATAGGGCGGCACGGCCTGCGCGGCCGCTCCGGAGTAGAATGTGTTGCCTGCACAGCCAGAAACACGCACGCACGCACACAGGAGCGCGCACACACGGGCGGGAGGAGAACGGTCAGTGAGTGCGCCGAAGGGCTCCTCTCAAGAAGAGGAACTACACAATGACACCGGTCTGTCACAGAACTGGACAGCAAGGGTGGCAGTACAGTACGGTAAGAAATTACAGTATGGGATTCTTTGGTTTAGTACGGTATGATCTTACGCTAAGATACTTTTTCATCAGGTACGGCAAGTATGCAATTTTTTCGTATCCTTGTCATACAAACAAAGGTGATCAATTATTTACAAGCTAAAGCTTCTGAAATTCTGATATTCTCCTCTCGTCTTTAAAGGCGGCTATATTAATTAACACATCAGTTATCAAAAACTAAAACCTCAGGCAAGATTCCTTTTCAAACTTCGACTTACCATTGATAGCCAATTGGATCATTGCATTGTGAAAGCATGACAGAGTGAAATGCCTTAGAGGTGTCTTCATTCAGCAGCGGATGAATTAATGGGCAGTGGTGATTTACATTATTTGAACTTGTGACTGGTTTTAAGGTGACCTTGCTCGACTGTTTCCCACTTTCTAAATTGCAAACGTTCCATAATCCATGCGTTCCTCTTCCTGTGTCTCAAGTGTAATATTCAAAGGCATATTACAGCGAGACACATGCCACAGCATGTGATACACACCACGCTGGTCAGTGCTTTGAGCTATGGATGCCAATCAGCCAACAGAAACTCTGATTAATGGCTGCTTCGCGACTCAAAAGTACTGTACCGACAAGCAAGCGAGTGGTTAAAACGACCCCGGTAAACACAAGCGTGACTCTCTACAGATTAAATGTGCACAAGCACTAGGTCACAGTGCACTGGGGGTTTAAGTTCCACAACCGCAGGATGGAGCAACACGTCCGACCTCAAGTGAGCAACAACCAGTGGACAATAACACGGCAAACTGTAGGAAACCGAACACTTGCGTACAATTCCTACATTTCACAATTAAAAGTCACAGATTCCCCTGCTCAACTGGGTAGAGACAGTGGTCTCATCTCCTGTTTACATCCCCAAGCCAGTGGTGAACATTTCACATTCCTATGATGGGGAGCAAGACTGTCCACAGGCACCGCCCTACTCAAACCATAAGGTGGTTCTCTCACTTTATTAACTGCCTCTGGAGGATTGAGGGGATGGGTCACCCCCCCCCCAAACCAGGATTTGGACTCGAAACCTGACTGCAAGCCACTGAGCCACCACCACTAAGGTTACACGTGGCGGGGGGGCGGCTTGAATAACGGATAAAAGTAAGGACGTTAACAAAGCACCCGATTAGCCATTGTTATGGTAAAGAAACAGGTCAAAGAAGTCAACCCGCATGTTTCCTACCCCCTCCTACATTACTCTCTCGAGCCCCCCCCCCCCCCTCACTCACCACCGGCCGCATTGCCACAATGCCTCACATTGGCATCAGCACGAGGCGCACAGCCCACAAGCCCCAGAGCGAGCGAGAGCGGTCGATGACTTCCACGTGCACAATGTGCACACAAACGCAACAAAATTCCAAGCATTCCACAAGGGGCACTGGGCAGTCAGAGCCACCCCACCCCCCAGAGCACAGTGGGGGAAGAGAAATCTCCACAATGGGAGAACCACCATAGAGGACAAATTCATGGGAATACAGGCACAAACCAAAAACAGCGCCACCCCATTTATGCAAACGGTGTATTCATTTTATTGAGATATACAACAGCAGAAGCATGCTTCTTGTTTTAGATGCGTCGGAAGCATTGTTCCGTAACCGCTTTTGAATATGTCCTCAACTCAACTTTAGACAGACCTCATCAACAGTCCAACACAGCTTTGTCCGTGTATAAAAAATGACTTGTCCGCTTTAAAACCGCCGGTTAATTGTGGCGGCTATCAGATGCCCACATATGCCCTTCCATTAACTCAAATAGCCGCACCCAGCAGAGGCAGCCAGCAAGACCTGCTTCAACTCGACAGACAGGCGAGACAAGCAGCCATTTCAACTCCGGATTAATCAATGTCCCTGGCCGCCAACTCAAATATCACTCGCCAGGCAGGAGGAATACTTTTACCGGCCTTATACGTGCTCTAATAAACCCTGAAAAGTTGTTTGTAGTGGGCAGTGGCCAACACAAAAGTTACATTTTCCTAGGGTTGCCAGTTCGTCTAAATCTGGCGAGCCCATGACTGGCCCCATCCATGCGTGTCACACGACGGCTTCGTTGACTCTAAATCATGAGTCAAGCCGCCTCCACGGAGTTTGCAAGATCAACTCTGCTCGTGCCGTGGCGTTTTGCAATAGCTTTTCCCGCAGATCTCCCATTGCAACATGGACGCCGGGCCCTCGGCTGGTTATATATATACACGTTTGCGCGATTCTAAAACACCGCAAGTACGGTGCACGATTCACACGTTCAGATGTAAGAATATCATCTTCAAGCCTCGACGCCATCAGTGTTTTTATTGAGGATCCGCAGCCAGACTTATCAGACTAGTTTCGCCCTGCGCGCGTGCATGGCCAACACTTCCACGCATACAGAAAAATAAATCCCAGAGTCAAAAGCAACCAACATTACCTTACTATACAAAAAATACCAAATCCATTAAATTTGGGCCTAGATGTTGAACTGTTCAACGTCAAAAGCGAGTACTTAGTTGCGTATTTTGCGTGGTAGAATATCCCACATCAATGTACTGTACCGAGCATTCCGGCACGTGCCAGCACGAAACCAAAACAGCCAGTACAGTTACACAGTATTGTCTCGTTATTCACGAGGGATACGTTCAAGAGATGTTCGTGAATAGCAAATTTCGCAGATACTGGTCTACGAATATCGTACTCGCAACATCTGCAGACGCTTCTAAAGTTTAGAGAAGTTCTTTATCTCACTTTCTCTCTCATCATCACTTTCTCTCTCATCATCACTTTCTCTCTCATCATCACTTTCTCTCTAATCATCACTTTCTCTCTCATCATCACTTTCTCTCTCATCATCACTTTCTCTCTCATCATCACTTTCGCTCAATGCAGTGGTCGTGTAAAGTTCCAGATGCGATTCGCGAATAGACAAAATCGCGAACAGCAAATTCGTGAATAACGAGGCAATACTGTACCGACTTCCAGTTCATTTAACAGAGGGGCCAACGCGCAATAACGCAGCAGCTAAACGGCCTGGTTTGCCAGCCCCGTCGCCATTACGAAACCAGACCATTACGAAAGACCGATCTAGCCAGACGCCACCACTACCGTACTGGTTTTGTCCACATCCATGCTGACCGCCAAGTGTTTTTTTTTTTCAACTGCAGCAATAACAAGGCCAGAATGCAGCAGCAGGAATCCAGCAGCGAAGGCCGAGTGGGTGCGTGCTTTGAAGCGGCTCAACACTTTGATGCGGCGAAGGCTACAAGACGAGGGCTCCGAAGGTCACTCGCTTCCCCCTACCCGCCCCCTCTTGCCACGTGGCGGACTGCATGCGATACACGCATGTTGCACACTTTATCGCCAAGCAATGTGTGCGGGTGTGCAAACTCTTTTGGCTCGTGTCAGCTCATCGATGTGTACCAGTGTGGAATACCAGGCTCAGTCTCAACACTACAGAGCACTGTGGAGGGCTCAAACCGCCAGGAAAAAGCTGACCCAAGATAAACAGTTCCTAAGATTAAGATAAGCAACTCCACCGATGTTCACGTTCATAAATGCTTCTAAATATTATAACCGACACAAACTGGGTATTTGCAACTGGGGGCGTATATATTTGGTGCCACATGCCACGGTGTGCAGCAGGGGGATATTCGTCTTCGGAAATGCAGACTTCATCGGCAAGTCGGCGGTGAAGTCGAGAGCGGCCGATGGGAAGTGGAGAGAACTCATCCGTGGCCTTACATCCCATAGGGGATGAATAGGAATAACCAACTCTTAGAGTGGCTGTTTACATTCATGTGGCCACCTTCTAAACAATCCCGAACCACTTTGAGCCACAACTGCCCTGTGTTGAGTGAATACGAACGATGAGCCCAAGCACAGTTCGCCACAATTGACGCTTTCGCTTCGGTGGTAGTCATTTAGACGTAATTATGGGATAAAATTAAAATTCACACTTGATATGAAAAAACACCAACTGTCCTGCACGCTGCAACCGGGTTTCTAAAGCCTCTCAATTGCATTTGATGCCATGTTTGCATTTGTTTAGCTTAATGCATGGGCACTCCCTGCTGAAATAAACAATATCCATCTAAATCTACCTATTCCAACAGAATTATCCAATTCAATCCACCGCTCGATGAAGGCATCTCCACCATTCACAACCGCGCGCTGCGTTCCATCTCATGCCCGATTTACGGCTCCATCACTCCAGTTAGTGCGCCAGGACTTCGACATCGTCTGGTTGGCGCAATCCATTAGGAGTTTTGTCCCACAGAACCCCATCACATCTTGCTCAACGATGAAAATTCAGTCGGGCAACTTTTCTTGCTCCCTACTGCATGGGGGGGGGGGGGGATTCCCAATCGTGTTTCTTTCAGGAAGTCAGAGGAGTGTGCGCAACTTTCAGTAATCCTTCGGGCGTGCCTTTGACAATCAATGTAAATCCCTTTCACATTTCTAGAGGTTAAAAAAAGTCACCGAGGACAAATACAAGAGCCCACAACGTCGACTACAATGTATTACCCTGACCCAGAAGCTACCAGTGGTGTGCAATCGGGAGGGGCGTGCACAGGACTGAGTTTGTTTTCAAGGCGTTGAATAAAATTACCACCGAGCAAGCATGCTTTATTAATTTCATGAGTTAAATCCGAACCGGTCCAACAACTGCCGCCACTGATGAGAGGTGTGGGGGGGGGGCTGCCATCCAACAGTGGAATGACAGAGCTGTGAACTAACAAACTATCAGCTACACAGTGTTTATTCAGTCTCCCCAGCCCCGCCCACAAAAACACGTTCAGGGTTGCACGTCAACAAGACATAAAAAGCAGCATTACC